TTTCGTGTGAAATAAACAACATGTTGATAAACGTGGCATCAAGTAATATATCAAGTTGTTATCAACATGAGATTTTCTCCTCGTTTTAAAGAAATCCTTTCATTCAGAAAGTTATTTAAATGAATTACTTCATATTGCAATTATTATATAAATGAAGGAATTATGTCTATGATACGTGATAAAAGTAATGATAACAAATCCATTTGCATTAACGTGTTAAAATTTACCTTCTTAACCAAAACAACAATTTTTGTGTATGCTACCTTGCGTCAATTTATATATGGAATTAGAATTATTATAATCAGGCAGTGATTTGTGTAATGTATGCTAGTTTGCGTCAATTTGCTTTTGAAATTAGAGCGATATTTTGAATATTTTTTGTTTACTTATTTATTTATGGATGTCTTCAGTCTGACTGATACAAATGATGCCAATGGACAATAATTAACAACTCCACCTGTTACTGTGTATTTTGAACAAATTCGCAATAACTTTATCACATATTAGCTTTTCGTGTAAATAATGAAAATTGGGACTTATTGTTTTCACATACTATTTATAATTATCTCTTTCTTATCGAGTTTTCAGAACGACAAAAATGTTTGAAATCATTTGGGGATTTGAGGTTTCATATGTAGGCGATTCTGTTGTTTTCAAGCAAATCGAGGTTTAAGACATCAAATTTATTGTAATCTTAACTCTTTTGAAGACCACAGTTCAAATCTCATCGGAAACTATAGTAAGATTACTAGCTTAGCACCAAAAACGTCAGGCAATCAAAAAATCATGTCGGTTAAATCAATTCCTTCAAGTTTCATTCATAAAGTAATCTTGAAGCTTTCGATCCAACATTCATGTTTAACTTCAAGATTCTAACCCGTTTCTTAGTCCAATGTATTACCCATTGATCTAGTCTTGTCTAGATCTTGTTTATTAAGCAGTCAAAGTATCTAAACTTCCGAAAAAGCTAAAATTTGCTTCAAAAAGGCCCTAATTGCTTATTCTGCTTAAATTGGTTGTCTGCTGCAAACTCTCTAATTAGTAATCATTACTAAACACTGATGATGTGGGCAAAGATATCATTGTTCTAGGTTGTGACTTTTAGAAATAAAAGGAAACCATCTTCAGTCATCTAACGCTTAATCGTTTGAAATAGAACTTTGTTTTTTATTAAAAACTTCAGCTGATTCGACCTGAAAAATTATTATTGGGCGTAAAGCTTGTAGTGCTGATGATGACGTTTTCAGTGGTGATTGACACTTATGCACTTTCTAGCCCACACGAAAAACTTTTGATCGTGCTTAAAAAGGTGCAGTGTTGCATTCTGGCTATTTGTCTGGATCAGATAAATTCTGAGACAGAAATTTCTTCATAAAATCGATTCTACATGTAGAAAGAAAAAAACCATCTACATGTAGATTGTGTCTACATGTAGAATCTGTCTACATGTAGATTTAATGTAGATGTCTACGATTCTACATTCTTCTCTGATGTAGACCTGGAAAAAAATGTAGAATTATAGACATCTACATCGAATCTACATGTAGACAGATTCTACATGTAGACACAATCTACATGTAGATGGTTTTTTTCTTTCTACATGTAGAATCGATCTTTATGAAGAAAGTTTCTTAGCTAGACAAAAACTATTGAAGAATCTACATTCTTCATCTAGTGTAGACATCTACATTTGCAACACTGAAAAGGTGATTAATGATGTATATTTTTTTTTGTAAGCGTTCCAATTAACAATTTTAAAATTTTTCCCGTATCTTATCTTTAGGCTTGGTGTTATTTCTATACGACAGAGTAAAGGTCTGAAATTATTGTTTACGAAATTGATCATTGAACTGAAGTTCATTACAGAATTCTTTTAAAAATTAAGTTGAACATTTATTAAGCTAGAAAGATTAATGCATTGTCTTTGTAAGTCATTAATAATTTATTAACCCTTTCTTGCACATGGCAGTGCAAATGTTTTCGTGACTTCTTCTGTAATCAACGTGATTTTTTCGTGTGCTTATCCATGCAAAGTATTCAAAAATGTGTGAAGAAATGCTTGTCCAACTTGAGTAAGGAACAATTTTAATTAAATTTCTTTGTTCTATTGTGTTTATTAAGTCTGTACATTCAACTTCACTTGCAGACGTTGTTTTGTAGTACAGACTGTTCATACTGGGCATGTGTCCCAAATAATGAAAATATAAATCCATAATGAATAATTGTAAGTTCTGAAGATGACAAACGAGAAAATATATTAATTACCTTTAAAATCTTCTTTTTAATTCCATGTAGAATTGAGCACTTCTGTTGTGAACATACTGCGGAATTACGTATCATTTGTTTATATTCCTATTTCTTTTCTTCTCAAATTATGCAAACGGCAGTAATATGCGAATTGGAATTAATATCATTATAAATAAATATTGCATACCGATTATGAAATGAAGCTATAATATTGCTTCATTGGTAATATTGATCGGATTTTAAATGTCACGCTTAAATTGATTATTGAGCAATGTGGATGTATGGCACTGAAACGCATAAGATTCTGTCTGAACAGAACTGTTATATGATAATAATAGATCTTAGTACATAAGCCATAAACAGCCTTCAATATCGCAGATGCATTGTACAAATATTCTGAATCCACAATTATTAAATGACAAAGAAACAGAGGAAAGGCTTCATAAGATAAAAATAATAAAATTTTTCCTCTTTCTATTTCAATCGTCACGGAAAGAAAGAAAGAGAAAAAGAGTCTAATGAGTCATTGACATGCTTAACGAAATGTATACAGTCATATAAACTTTATTCTACTTCCCATATGTGAAAAATCAGCAATGCTACGCGTGAATACTGAGCGAGTCATTAAAGATTATTTTTTTTATTGACATTTTGGGATAGGTCAGTTTTTTTTATATTTTTGGCAGCGACGAAGATTAAAGAATTACTTGTTTTTATGATTAACAACACACACGTGTGTCTTAATATTGTGGATTGCAATTGATTGAGAAACTCAAGCGCGACTTGAAGATTATTGTTACTTCATATTATCATCATCACATAACTGATTAATTGGAAGTAACCACTTATTTTGATAAAACTGCAGAGTGCTGCAGAGAAATTATTTTTAAGTTTCTGATAAGGAAGTTCTATTGATAAGAGATTCCTATGATTCATACATATTTGAAACGTACTGTAAAGATCCCTGAGCCTGTATACATTAGAATTGAGATATCCTATCATATCCTGAAATTACACGTCCAATACACTAAGGATACGTTAGGATATCTTTTTTATCGTGCATACATGCTTAGGAATTTTTTGAATATTTTTGGGATATGTGGGATAGTTTCCACGCCTTGGTAAAGATCGTGTCTTATTGAGTCCAATTATATCCACAGATTGGAAAGGAAATCGAGTTGAAGAGTAGCAGGAAGGATTGAGTTGTTGGATCCCAGTTTAAAGATTTCAGTGCAGTGGTCTAGCACATCCTCACTCTTTAAACCCTCATTAGCCGGGAATCGCTCTAGCACAGCTCTGGATCATAATCGATCTGAACAAACAAAGGATTTTTAAGGTTTCAACCGGAAGTGAGTGAGAAATGTTTTCTTTTTTCTACTTTTAAAGATTAGGCGATTAAAAATAAATTCTACAATCACTCAAATGTCCTTGAAATCGACATAAACTCGAAATAAATTATTCACTCTTGAAATTTTGCGAACAAGGAAGTAATTTGAGGTCAAATTTTGAATAAAACAGGACAAATTCCAAGGGGCCATTCACTTATTACGTAACGCTTTTAGGGGGGGGGGGGGGGGAGGGGGGTCTAAGATTTTGTTACGGTTCAAACAAGGTAAATTTTTTTCATACAAATTTTGTTACGAGGGGGGGGGGGGGGTCTAAAAAGTCATTTTTTCGCGTTACGTAATAAGTGAACAGCCCCCAATGATTCTATTATCATAGTCACTGCTATTTGTTGTAGCTACAATGTTCTTGATAGGCAATTAGTAGAGTTCATTTACACGATAGCTCTACATTGAAATATTTTCATTGTTTATCAATGCATTTTCCAATTATTTGCCATTGTAAATTTATTTGTTCAGTAATCCAAGCCCATCTGCACGTTTGCTTCTTCCTCCAACAAAATGACGCTTTTATAGTGAGATGCAGTTATATGCAGCATAAAGTATCAGTTTATGATACAATTTATCATTTCTGCAATCGAGCTTGGAAGTGCAATTACCTATGACTGCCCTTGACCATTACGAAAAAAAGCAAGCTTATCAGTACGAGTACAACTATGTGGGTGCATCGCAGTTATAGTGAGTATCCTGTTAAGCACGAATGAAAACAATATAATGGATAAAAGCTTTGCTGTATATGCCTTATATGAGGAGTTGAGAGGAACAAAAAAAATAAATAAATTTATTTACAAAACAAATAAAGAACTGTGATGAACATCGTTTACTTATTTGGAGAGCACACGCTTGTCGTATTAAACTGAATACATTTATAGCGCATTATTCAAATACTGGATAAAAGCAGGAAAAAAAAATTATTTTAACATGTCGAAGATGAGTTCATCGACACTTTTTCACACACAGTTCAATGAAAATGCGGAAAAATCGCTTATGCATAATGTGCACTAACAGGATATAAATTGGATTTTTGATGTAATTTATGCAGATTATATTCGATTATGGTTTTTGATACTTTATGCTTTTTACGAGATTTTTTCGGTAGAATTTTCGTAGTGATTTCACTTTAACTGTCACATATATTCACTAAGGCACCAACGAAAAACTGAGTCTATAAAGCTTAATCTATCTCAATCTTAAGATCTATCTTCAATCTAGCAACAAAGTGATCGTAGACTTGAAATTTTCGTAAGTGTCTTCTCGAATCATGTCGTTACTATTCATCTTGTAGATCCAGAAAGCTGTAATTGACCTCCTTAAATTTTAGCTTAAACAGACCATTAAGATCGTTAATTATAAAAGGAAAAGAAATTTATTCATATTACTTTGTAAACGCAGTTATATGCTGCTAAAATAAAAAGTAATTCCCTTTAAATCTTAGTTTGTATTAATGCAATGACACAAAGTAATCGCACTACAAATAAATGCAAGAATAAAAAGGAACTAGCAATAAATTTGTTTTTGACAGAAGCAATTATTTGTTGCCGTTATAGCACGGCGCGTATGGATGAGTTGTTTATAAATTTTCTTTCATTGCTGACCTTGCACAAAGTTTTTTGCATTATGTCTTGGTTCTCAATGCAGCACTCTTCAATTTCTTAGCAATAACTTTTTGTTGCTTTGCAGTTTTTGTGACTTTTCCTTTCTTGACTTTATCACTATTCGTGTCATCGACCTTAGATCCAAAGAATTTCTGCTTCTTTTCTGATTTTTCACGATTCACTTGACGATTATCTTTATCCATTTTTCCACCAGGTCTAAATAATTCTTTTTTGGATACTTCCGAATCAGTGAATTTATTGAATTTCGCTTTCTGTGAGTCTTTGATTTTTTTGACAATCGGATTATTAATATTTGGACGACCTTTAATCAGCTTCTCGTTCAATTTATGTGATTTCTTGACTTTTTGTCGAACGACTTTGCCTGTTTTGGGATCCTTTTTAAATAACTTCTTTTTTTCTTGCTTGTCCTTTGACTCACTTCTGGATACTCTTAATTTTCTGCCTTGAAATTCAGTGTCATTGAGTTTAAGTGCATTAATTAAGCTGACACCTTTCTTATAGCAAATAAATGCAATGCCTTTCTTGGGCAACTTTCTTACATACTCAATCTCACCAATTTGTGAGAAATATGCATGAATATCAGCTTCTGCAGAGTCGAATGGTAAGTTTCCAACAAAGATTGTTCCTTTATTTGTAAACGACTGTTTGTTATTTGCCATATTAACTCTTAAATGATTCTCAACAAGTTTATGTCCATTTAGTTCCACTGACTTCTTTGCGTCATCCTCATTTTCAAATACAACATATGCATTAAAACTTTTACAATATTTCTTGACCTTTTTCGAGAAAATAACATTTCCGTTTTCTGTTCTTAATCTTATACTTTTAACAGGCCCAAACTGAGCAAATAAATCCTTAATTCTTCCTTTAGTGACATTTGGATCATTTGGGACATTTCCACAAAAAACAGTTTTGTCTTCGTCTTCCTTATCATAAACCTGCTTTCTTTCTTGTTGCTTATCAGCATTTGATTCCTTTGTATCTTCTGCATCGCCGTCACTATCTGATTTATTACCTGATTCATCTATTGATTTTATAATATCGTCAGTAGATTCCATTAATTCATCTTCAACTTTTTCGTCATCTGAACTTTCGTCATTTACTTCCGCTGTATCTTTCGGCACAATTTCTTCTGGAACTTTTTTGACTTTTTTAGTCTTTGTCTTATCCTATAAATGCGTAATTCATGTTATTCTTGTGTAATTTAAGTAGCTTTCTTGATTTCTTACCTTTACTTTCTTCGCCATTGCTTATAAGTTGACTAATTAATAAATTTTCAATTCAATGTTTCAAATTTTTTTGGATGTAAACAAAAACGCACATGTTAGAGGAGAAACAGCTCATAACGGTTTTTTTCAAATATTGAACCTTAAATTTGATTTTAAGCTAACCGTTATATTCGGTTTTTTCAATAAGCTAATGTGGTGTGAGGTGATGGTGATTCAAAATGCTTTTTTGCATGATTTCATGAATTCATTTATTTTATCCAATTAATATCTTCTGTTTCAGAAATAAACTGTTTATAGACCTATAATTCATAAAAAACAGTTGTCATAAAAATATGAGTCTGTGTTTGTGTCGATAATGTCAATGTATGTGTAAAGTGCGAATAAATTCCGTTAAAAAGACAAAATACTGTTTTTCATTAAATTAACTTAATTAACAGCATCAAAAAAGCATAATGGGAGAAAAAAGATCACCATCTGCTGAGTTTTTACAATCCTGGAATGAATTCATGTCAGATACACCAATAACCGAAGCAGAATTAAAGAAACCAACAGAAGTTTTCTTCAGACATTGTTTAATTCATATATTAAATCAATTACATGTTGATACAGCAAGTTATGACAGCATGAATAATGAAATTGGATCACGATTGAGGAACTTACGCTTCAAATTGATGTCTTCTGTTAATTACTTCCTTTCAATTCCAACTTGTCAGAAGAAAATGGATCTTAACTATTGTAATCTCATAAATCCAAGTAAATTATAGCATATTCATTATTTGAGATCTGATAACAAAGTTTCTCCTTAATTTCAGCATTCAAAGTTGTATTCAATACATTAAGATATCTTCTTAATTATACATTTTTCGTTAACATGATGTATTCGAGTAATATTGTTGAATGTGCTAAGAAGGTTGTGGAACGTGATAACTTACGTACAATTAAGAATCAATTAAGGAAGGATATAGAGCAAGCTAAAATTGAAGAGGAGAATTGTGTAAAGCAGTATAGAGATCTTGAAAAAAGGATTCCACAACAAAACAGCACAATTGCCACATTACAGGAAAAGGAAGAACGACTAAAGCAAGAAATTCAGAGAATCGAACAGGACATTGAAAAAACTGATATGATCCTGCTGGAATTAAATTCACGAAAATCAGGTCTTACAGAAAATATTGTAAATGATCAAGAAGCTGAGACAATTTATGCAAGTAGGGAATCAGTAGAACGTCAGCTTTGTGAGCAAGAAGACTTTATACTAGCTGGGAGACAAAAACTTAAGGAACATTCAAGCACAATTGAAAGACTTAGAACTATTACTAATGATATGAAAAATATTCATTCAGAATTCGTCTTTGATACCAGCGATTTAAAAGAATTAAGGAAGAATAAGATTAATTCAGAAGGGAATCTCAACAGTCTTAAAATCAGCATTTCACAAAGCACAGCTGAAATTGAGTCACTCACTCAAAATATCAAAATTAAGCAGGAAAACATAATCAAGCTTAATAAGAAAAAGGATGAAATTGAGGCAACAATCGGTTCCAAAGATAAAGAAAATTTACAGATTCTTAAGCAACAAGCTAGTAGTTTGCGTAAACTTGCCATTAAGGAAGATGAATTATTAGATATAAAAATTAGAATTAAACATGAATTCGAGTTGCTTTATAAATTCTCATCAAACGTCATAAAACAAATGTGCACATCCTTTTATGATTGTTAAAATTACTTTATTATAAATATTCTCTTCAATTATAAAGCATTTTGCGCGTCATATTATGTATCTATTGGTTTTAATATCTATTAAATTTATGTCATATTAATAAATTTGTCATCTCTTCATTTTTTTATATCTTACAAAAGTTACAAATTCAAAAAGCACCTTTTTATTGGAGATATTTTTACAGATTGGTTGATCATCTAAACGATTCCTTTGACACAATTACAGAATGTAATAAATATGGTAAAAGAGATTCTCATTGTATGTCATATGAATATAGAGTGCTGGATATAGATTCTGTTACTTAACAACTATCATTCTATGCCTTATAAAGTATTATTTAAAAATAATCAGAGAGTTTATTATATTGAGGAACTAAATTTGATACATGACTTCACACTAGTCATATAGAACTGGCATGAGAGCATGTGAAAAATATTAGACATAACAAAGACAACAGTACGAAAAATGAGATTTTCAGTTAACTTTAACATAACAAGAAAAAAATATATTTAAATATAAAGAACAAGTTGTTGAGTAGTTTGGACTATAAGAAGTAGTTACGTAAAGGACTTGATATTTGTTCGGGAAACGGAAGTTTAATATTTGTCTATAACTAAGAATGATTATTAAAATTTTCATTTTGTAACGTGATATTTGTAACATCCTTAACAATCAATTCAGCAACTTGCCATGCAATCTCTTCCTGCATTGTATCTTCTGGTAAATGAACAAACTTTCTTACAGCATTTTTCAGCCTATTTTGTGTACTATTCCATTTTGATTGATCAAAAATTGACTGAGGATTCTCAATGTCAATTATGTCATTTTGTAATTGGAATGATCTTGACGTTGGAATAAAGTGATTATTTGTAGGCATTACAAAATCTCGTTCATATCTTCCGTACGCATCAACTCTTCCAAAACTTAACTTTGATGTTGAATTATGTCTGTGCCATAATAAATCAGGATCGACAAGCTGACGTGAATCTATTTGCAAATCTGTTGAATTTTTATTGCTTCGTTTGTAATCAAGACCTGCAAGAAGTGTATTTTGTGCTGAAATACTTCGAGTCATTTCTGAAAAGGAAGTTAAATAATTAAATTAAATTTTAAGGCAGATACATACTAGGAAAGAGGCTTACTATGTTCAAAAGACTCGGAATTCGTACGACGATGCTTTCCATTTGATGGAAATTTAAGTGAATAGCTTGAATTCCTTCTTATGATTCCACTCGAATTGTGCATATTCTTATCACTTATATCAACTTTACTCATAACTTCTGATAAATGTTTGAAAAATAATTGAGATTTCATAAATCTTTTGAAGCAGTTCCGTTCCAGATATAATTCAACAATTTTAATTGGTGTATCGAAGCACGTTGGTGTTGATGAGGAGCAAATTTGTTCCTCAACTTTGACACGAATTTTATTGGAAAAATTTAATGGCGATGTTGCCTGAAGAGAAAACCACTTTTCGTATATCACAAGTGCATCCATTCTTAATTGGTCATTATTCAAGTCATCACTTTGATCCGATTGCTTACGAAAATTTGTTGCTGACAACCAGAATTCCAAGTACGGTATTTTACAAGGTTCGCGATCTTGTTCTAAAAATTCCATGAAATAAAACAGTGCTGATTCACTGCATAAAATTTCTTCGAAACACAAATTATCACTTGTTAATATGTCAATAGTGTATTTACTGTAGAATGTACTCTCTAAAAATTCACTTAAATATTCTTTTTCCATGACTTCAAAGACATGATTCTGTGCTTCGTCAAATGCCTGCCATAAATTATTTAAATCAATTTCTGTCTCTGAATCATTGCCACAGAGAGCTAAAGACAATTTTGATAGAATTATTGCTGGCAATTCGACTAAGTACATAGAATCGGTTACTAAGTACTTTCGGTAAATTCTCAATGCATCCTCAAGAATTAAAGGCTTAAATTTCCTTGATTCATCATTTTCACCATTTCTAGTAATACTATTGTTGTTTGTTTCTGTTGGATCACAATCATCCTTCTTGCGATTATTCTCGCATATTTTTGACTTTTCATCGTCAGTAAGTGATTGTGTCATTCGCTCGACAATTTCAGGCGTTCTTGAATTATCAACTTCATCTTCAATATTTGAATGAGTTTCTTCTGTCTCATCAAAATTGCTAATGCTTGTTGTCGTCGATATCGAAACACAATCATAATCTCTAAATGTATCACATCCAGTGTCTAAAGATTTCCTTCGGATATCTTTTTTCGTATTATCATAATTACTGACTCGAGATTCAGCACGATCTGTAAAGACACTTGATGTTGTATCACCGACTGTTTTAAATGTCTCGACATCAAGCCAGAATTTCACTAAAGGCAGTCCGTTTTTTGATTCGAGGTATTGTATATAAAACGATAAAATTGCTTTATCGTTTAAAATGTCCAGAAGATTCCTGTGCAATTTTTTATCGCTATTATGCGTGCTAGCGCAATCTAAAATAAGGGAGGTGAGAAATATGTAGGCATGAAAATGTAAATAAACATGAAGAAAGAAGGTTTATGGCCTTGAAGAATGAAGATGTAAAACAAAACAGAGAAATGAAGTTTTAATATTTTGCCATCGCGACACATTCCACTTGTACGATTCTAATATGTTTATTTTCTTTCTTATAAGGCACTGTCCAATCAAATGATCTCATTATACTCTTACAAATCGATAGTAACGCATCATTGATTGCCAAATTATTAAAAATTTCATTAAATTTACCATTATTTTCAAAATATATCCTCTCCGCTTCATCTAAACTAAAGATGTCATGTATCTTCTCGTCATCAATAGATTTTTTCTTGTTGTCTGCAAATACATTTAGCACATTTAAAATTTTTAAGGAATTTACATACAAAATGCAAAACTAGTTTTTGTTTATAAATATTTCTTTTACCATTTTTCAGGAATTTCAGCATTTTTAAGCTTCACTGTTTATTTACATGATTTCTAATGATCCTTAATTAATTATTTACGGAGATTGCTGCTAGATTAATGTTGAAATTCTTGTTAAATTCATTAAATTTATTCAACTGCAGATTTCACTTGACGGTTGATTCAAAAATGATGTCTACGAAGAATAATTGCGACGAAATTTCAAATTTTCAGAAACCGTTGATTACTAGTTCCTCATTACCCTGTTTTTTCGTTATAAGCTAGTAGCTTAGAAGAATAAAAAAGTGATTTTTTCGGATCACTAGTAGCTTAGTAACGAGTAGTAGCTTAGTAAAGAAATTGAACTTCAATTAAAATTTTGATTTTTTTTAACTTAATTAAAGAAATTTTGCTATCTTCTCGATTTTATTTCATTGACAATGTCATAAGACATTGAAACTGATACTTAAAAAGTTGAAAAAAATTAATTAAACTATATTTTTGGTAGTAGCTTAGTAAAGATTACAAAAAATTTTCAAGTTCAAAAAACTTTACTAAGCTAGTAGCTTAGTAACGAGTAGTAGCTTATAACGAAAAAACAGGGTAAGTACTGTTTTTAATGATTTCACGAGATGTTACTATAATTAAGCTCTAAAGTTGTTCATATTCTAAATATGCTCTGTCACAGGTTTTCACCACTTAAAGTTTTAACACGTGCACAATATTTCACCTCATTTTAATTAATTTTATTTTACTAATTAGTTCCTTATTCACAGATCTGATGTTTCTGGAGTTTTTATGCTTCCTTTTCCTAATCTTGCTAGAATCTGTTGCTACAATCCACAATTGGACAAGCATGGAAATTCTGTTCGTGGTATTGAATTTTGTGAAGAGCTTTTGAAAGTTTTTGCAATACATCCTTATTGTAATTTGAGGCATTCAGTCACAAGAAAGTCAGTAGTGATGGAATCTTGTGAAACCTTTTGTTTTTGTTGTTTTATTATTAGATAGAAATCTTGCGTTATATGGAACCAGTTCTTTTAAAATATTATGCACACATGACACTCGAAAAATTCTGAAAGGAAGAAAATGAGAATCAGCACATGATTAACGGTCTGAATATACTGCTCAAGACCATCAAGAGAGAAGAACAAATCTCTCAAAAGCCTTTATTATAAATAAACTCTCGTCTTTAAACCTCATCTTTAGTTTTGGTGTATCCGTCATCATGAGTGGAAGTAAAATAATAATTTTATTGACAGTCATTTCGGCATCATTTGACCTCACGAAGGCTATATGTAAGGCGTTATCTTCAATTAATTATTGAATGACAAATTTATTGTTTGTAAATAATAATTAGCATGTACGGTTGAAAAGTCGAGACTTACTGGTGAATGCAAGTTCATCACCGACTGTCCAGAAGTTTTAATGGCATATCAAAAACTTAAAGAACGTCCAACGATCTGTGATAGTAAAACAAGAACAATTTGCTGTCCAATGAAATTAGCTAGAACAACGACAACTGAAAAGACAACAACAACAAGAGAAGAACCACCGTCTCGTATCAGTGTCAAAAGTATAAACAAAATCAGTTTTAGGTATTTCCCAAATTTTTTATGAGATTTTGAATGATTTTTGTTTTTTAGAATGCAGAGAATATGGTAAATTAATCTATGAAAAGCAAACGCTTTCAAATCCAGTAATTGGTGAACCGCCAATAGAAAAAATATTATCCAAATGTAATCATGAGGTCGTTAAACTGATTGTTGGTAAGCATGACAGTCATCAATTTCACTGACTTTTAAACTGACAAGATGTTATTTAAAGGTGGAACTGAAGCAAGTGATAGAGAGTTTCCTCACATGGCACTGATTGGTTTTGGAGAGGGAAAACCGGAAGGTAAAATTAATTAACCTGCTTAATTATGTCTATATACCTTTTCATGTTTTTTTCGCAGATTATCAATGTGGAGGATCCCTTATTTCCGAACAGTGGATCCTTTCTGTAAGTAAATATTAAGCTTGGTCCTTAAAAAATCACTACATATATTAATAATAATAGGCAGCACATTGTCTTAACGCAGCAGGATCAACAGCAAATTTCGCAAAACTTGGATACATCATAAGAAATATTGAGACATCAAACACATACACGTATCAAATTTCTGAAAGAATTTCTCATCCAAATTATGATTCAAGATTTGCAGATGATGACATTGCCCTTTTCAAGTTACAACAACCTGCAGTCTTGAACTCATATGTCATTCCTATTTGCTTACCAGACAAGGAACTACTTACAACAAAGAATGCAATCGCTACTGGATATGGAAAGACAGGATTTGTTGATGACGTTAGTGATGTCCTTATGAAAGTGGTGATTGAGTATTTCAACCGTGATACGTGTGATTCTGCCTTTGAAGGAACTGGTAGATTTTCTAACAGACAAATAAATTGGGATAAAACTGTTTGTGCGGGATCAAACAATAAGTCAGGTGATACATGCAATGTAAGTTGAAGTTCTGTTGAATGTTTAATGATCAATTGACTGAAATAAATTTAAATCCTTTAAAATGTTTAGGGAGATTCAGGAGGTAAGGAAGAGTTTTGCAAATTTTGGAAAGATTTTTTAAATTATTTTTTTTTTATCTTTAGGACCTCTTCAAATCTACAACAGTGATACTTATTGTATGTATACGGCAGTTGGAATCACATCTTTTGGATACGCTTATTGTGGATTTCCTGGGGTTCCAGCTATTTATACAAAAGTCTATCACTATTTGGATTGGATTGAAAATATAGTGTGGCCAAATGAATCTGTTTAACAGATATATGAGATTACTGCTTTATTAGCTCTGCATGTGGCAAAGGACATTCATATGCTTTATAATTATTCAGATATTTTTAAAGGAAATTCAATACAATTGTACATAAAGTAATCTTAAAATTAAGTCTTCTTGTTTCAAAACTTAAAGTTGACAACGTGATCTTTCTGATGCTATATTAAAAAGTAAGCTTACACGCTGTGATTTCATGAGTGAATTTACAAATGACAAATACGTGCAGTTCCAATTGTTTGTTGTCAAAGCAAGAATACTTATATTTGGAAGTGTTATATTCAAGTTTTTATATGCAGCTAGTCGATCAACTCTTAAATTTGACAGTGATGTCAATGGGGTGAAAACCTTTGCCGGAATCATTGAAAATCTTGTCATATTGTACATGCTAAAATTCCTTAATTTTGTTAACTTTAAAAATGCTTTCTTTGTAGGCTTTAGCATTTTATTGTTAAGAACACTAAGATCTGTCAAACTCTCCATGTCTCGAATGCAAAGAAAATTTGTAAGTAAATTATTGTCAGCATATAATCGCTGAACTGTTATATTTGTACTGCCACAAATGATCTTGCGAATAAAATTGTTTTCAATATGAATTGTTCTTTCGCCACTTGTTACAGTAAAGTTCCTAAGCTTATTTAAACTAGCATCCACATAACTTGCTCCATAAGATTGGACAGTAACCAATTGATTCTTTTTTGCATAAAAACTTGCAAGACTACCTTGAGCTTGAAAAAGATCATTTGGAAGTGTTTTTATTTGATTTCCACTACAAATAAATGAATATAATTTTGGATTATTGACAAATTGTTGGGAATCGATTGTTGTTAAAAGATTATCTTCGATGCTGAAATACGTAAGTTTTGGTAATACTGAAAAAACCAGAGGGTGGAGAGAAGTAAGTTGATTTTCATTCAAATATAAATTCTGTAATTCCATTAATCCTTGAAAAGCCATAACATCAATTGACGTTAGTTGTTGACGGACAATTTGAAGACTTTGCAGTTTTACACAATTGCTAAATGTTCTATTGTTTATTGTAGTTAAGTTTCCATACTGTATAAGTAAGTTTGTCAATTTTAATGCATTTGTAAACACATTTGAACTCATTTGCTGTAAACTGGTATTTGAAATTGACAGCAAGCTTGTCTCTGGATAACTTGTAAAAATCGTTTCAGGTGCTTGAGGCATATAACTATCCGAAATTATTATTAAGGTTACTGAAGATCTGTTTTCCCTGTCTATCACAAAAGGATCTGATACTGAAACACTTTGTCCATAGATTGAGCAAATCCCACTTTGGTAAGAACAAGTGTAGACGGCTTCAGTTGATTTAAGAATCAAAAATAATAGAATAAAACTTTTTGCACCTTTCATTCTGAAATCAAAACTTAAACAGTTGTAAATTATTGTCACATTAAGACTTTTATACTTCCATTTTAAATATATTAATGACATGAAAAAAAAATCAATTCGGTTTTAATGACCATATCTATTAACTTCGTCTATTTTGAAAAGTTTTAATATTGTTTTCATATTTCTCTTTCGATTTATAGCTTTTCTAATTTTAAAAACATGAACTGTTGGACTGAATGGTTCGTAAATATTTCAAAATGCGCATAACACATAAGAAGAGGAAAGGAATAGAATTGTTAAATTTGACTCGTCAAACTCTCGATAATTTAAGATTCATTAGAAAACCTTATTAAAAATAATTTTATTGATGACAACTTCTTTCAAGTAAAACAAACTTCAAAAACTTTTGGACTTTAAAAGAAAATATTGAAGAATTTGAAAAATTGAAAAACTAAAGTTTTAAAAATTTAAAGATTAATGTTGAGTTGTTTTATTTTGTTAAAGTTTCAGAAATAGGTTAATTCAAATTTAAATATTAAGATTTTTCAAGAAACTAGTTTTAAACTTCTTATTTCCAAAGGATCAAATATTACAGCGTGGTTCGAGCTGTGATGCTTCATTTTGAAACAATACGATATTTTGTGAATTTAAGATGTTTTCAACATGTGATACATAAGTGCAGTTCCATGTTTTCGTCGATAAAGTAAGAATAAATAAGTTCGGAAGAGTGACATTTAAATTTTTATATCTTATAAGACTATCCACTCGTAAATAGAGAAGTAATTTCAATGAAGAAAAGATTTTTGCGGGTACTGAATTAAATCTTGTCATGTTTAACATAGACAGATCTTGTAAGTTTCCTAATTTTAGAAAAGCTTTTTTAGTAGTTTTAAGCATTTTGTTATTATTAACATTTAAATCAATCAAATTTTCCATGTCACGAATGCAAAGAAAACTTGTAAGTAAATTATTGTCAGCATAAAATCTTTCAACGGTTAAATTTGTGCTGCTACAAATGATCTTGCGTATAAAATTATTTTCAATATGAACTGTTGTTTCTCCACTTGACAATGTAAAGTTCCTTAATTTGTTAAAACTAATATCCACGTAATTTACTCCATAAGATTGTGCAGTAACCAGTTGATTATGATCTGCATAGATGCTATTTAAATTGGTTTGAGATTGAAATAAATCATTTGGAAGTGTTTTAAGCTGATTTCCACTTATAGTCAATCCAAACAATAATGGATTTTTAATAAATTGGTGGGAATCAATTGTCGTTAAAAGATTGTATCCAATATCAAAATTCATAAGTTTTGGAAGTACTGATAAAGTTAAAGGATGAAGATAAGTTAGATAATTTTCACTGAGAATCAAATTTTGTAGTTCTTTTAATCCTTGAAATGCCATGATGTCAATAAAAGATATTTGATGATTGACAATTTGAATACTTTGTGCTTTTCTACAATGCACAAATGTTCCATTGTTCAACATCGATAAGGATCCATACTGTATCAATAAGTTTGTCAATTTTAATGCATTTGTAAATACTTTTGATGATATTTCTTGTAAGCTGGTATTCGAAATTGACAGCCATGTGATATCGGGATATGTTGTAAAAATCGATTCAGGTGCTTGAGGCATAAAACTTTCAGCAAATATCAAAAAGGTAACTAGTGAAGAGCCATTACTCGTAATCACAAAAGGATCTGACGCTGAAATATTTTGGCCTTCTATTGAACAAATTCCACTATCTAAATCGCAAGTATAATCTGAATCGGTTGATTTTAAAATAAAATATATTAGCAAGATTATTTTAGCTCTTGTCATGATGGAAGCAAAACTATAAAAATAGCATTTTATTGATTTCCGCTTTTAAAAAGCCACAATATTCAGATTAAAAAAATTAATAGGATTTTAATAGCATTAGATGTGGAAGAACAACAATATCAAAATTTGCTGATTATTTAAAAGAAAAGGTTTTGAAACTTGCACAATTCAATTCTGAAAAATTTCATTTCCTTACATTTATTCCTAACCGTCACAAAAGATTCAAAATATTTAAGTGTTTGTTTTTGTTTTGAAAATTGATCTGAAATTATTTTATGGTGATTTCATCCTTTAAAATCCTTATTTAACTCTATTTAAGTATTTTAAATAGTCCTGATGAAGTTTGTGATCAGTAATTAGTTAATGTGAAATAAACAAGTGATTAAAATTTGAGATTTCTACGAATAAGAAATAGTTTTTAAGCAGGACAAAGAAAAATCATCAAAAAATGAATCATAAATTGATAATTATAGTGATTTTAAGTATGTCGGTCTTAAAAGTTTTCGCCAAGCCTGGGGCAAGTTGGTAAGTGTATAGTAAATATTAATATATTACATTAGTTCCTAAACTGGATATTCGCAATCTTTCAGCGGTGCAAATTATACGGAGCCAGTTAATAACTCTATAATTTGTTCAGAGATTTTCCAAATATTCCATAAATGTACTGGTAGATTTCTAGAAGTAGCACTAGACACAGCAAATCCATTCACACTATGTACTAATAAGCAGGCATTTGGATATTACCGGAATCTGACATTTTTCTTTAATCTTTTGGAAGAGAACTATGACAGAAAAACTAGAATCATTTGTAGCGAGGAGTATCTCAATAAAAATCGAATGAGTGTAATTAGTCATATTGTTGCTACATCAAAGGGTAAGCTTAACATAATTTTAAAAAGCTTTAACTAATGATATTTTTTTGGAAAAGGACTTTGGGAGTCTGGAAATTGCGATGACTGTTATGGAGATGATACTAGTTTATATCAGAATTTTTCTCCCCATACAATTGAGTTCCAAAAAGCTCATTCAGAGTATGCAAATTGTACCAGCAAATTTAGGAATGTTTCAGAGATTTGTAAGGAATGCATGAGCTTCTATCAAAAAATGAATGATTTATTTGATTATGAAAAGAAAAAAAAAGAAGGCAAAATTTGCTTTGATTTAGAAGATGTAATGAACAAAACCCGACAAGAATGGTCTGTTGTCTATAAATGCTGCAAAAATAAGATGGATTCGCTAAAGGCTTTTTATAGTCTTTTTTCTACAATAATCATCCTGACACTTGCTTTCTATTCAGTCATTTATCTTACCGGATCTAGCTATGATGAAACAACAACACTTGATGCTAGAGAAATATCAATTAGCCAAACAATGGAACCTAACACTTCAGCATCATCTTCTGGATCTTCAAATGTAACAGCAATAATAAAATCAAAGAAAGAACCAGAGTCTGATAAGAAGTTGCTTATCAACGTAGACGATTCCGATGATGATGAAAATATTTTATCTACTCCATCAGCAAATAGGCACCAAATTGTACTGGACAATTGAAATGTAGTTAATTCCTTTTTAATTTACTTCTTTTATGTGCTATGTCATATAATAATGATGGAATATCCAAATTACAATCGAAAACGCTTTTAAATATTTTTGTATTTTATTATGTTAATTATTTTCTTATAAGAAAGAAATCTCTGGATTTAAAAATTGTGATTAATAAAGAACAAGACTTTAAACTGATAACAATTAGTGTATTTCAACAGTATGAAGCATGATGTTATCGACATCTTGGCTTAAATTTGAGTCAGAAACTTCAGACACTTCCTGCTTTTGTTGCTCTTGATTATATTTCTTATAGTCATCATAAACCATATCGACGAAAATAAAAATTATCATGTGATAGACGAGGATCAAAAGCAGAATATCAAATGTTGGAATCTTCAATAGTTGATCTTTATCATCAAACATCCATTTCGATATATTTTGTAGCTCAAATAATGATATTGGGAGTAAGACGAAAGATATGACTAAGCACAAAAGAGAAAAGAGCCTAAACTTCCAGACTTCCTTGTGATTTTTCTACGAAAAAAAAATCGAGAATTATTAAAATTTATTTAAGCCTGACTACATATTGTCTGAAAAACTAGCACTAAGATCGTTTTAGGATAATGCCTTACATTTTTGATTCCATAAAGCATATCAAATGATATCCAAATAATCAATATAGCAATGCTGATAAAAATCGCACACATTAGAATTAGCATTCCAGGAAATGGCTCACTTCTTACTGCAATAAAAACTTTAAATTATTTTTGACAAAAAATTGAGAACTTTTTGAAAAATGTCACATACTCTTCCAGTAATCCAGCATTAGCATAGCATACATAACTGATCCAACAATAACTACAATTATGGAAGTACATAGATACAGCCATGCAATAAATACCCCACAAATTTCAATTTTTGATAAATTTTTCAGTATCCTTAATTTACTCCACATAATGCACAGACTAAGCCTTTGTTCAAGCTACGAATAAAAATGACTAAAAGACAGAATGAAAGTTGTCAATTAGCAAAGGCAAAAATAATTTGGGAAGGGCCTCTTATTATAATATTTACTCATCATGGGAAATTGAGTTGGGAGGTTATTTGCATTTTTTTATGCTTATTATTACAGACCAATGCAACTTTATGAAAATCGATAATTTACATTCGATTAGAGTAAACTTTAAAGAAATTTGAAATTGACAATATTTTTGAAAATCATTAAGTTTTAAGATGGGTGATTTTTGTATAGCTCTTTGTGGATCAAATGGATGTATTTTTGTTGTTAACAAGCACAGTAAAATTGAAGAGGAATGGGACGATTTTGATAGTGATGTATTACTTCTAGAAGTCATAAAATCAAATCTTAAAATTCCCAACAAGATTCGCAAATGTGAATTAAAGTCATCGATAAATAATAAATCAGAAGTCATCATTACTTATGGAAATACTGATGAAAGGAAATTGATTTTTGGAACTATCATCGATGAAAAAAGAAGCTACTTATTGTCATTTTATAAGCCGATGCCGCTCCACATTTTGTCTAATCGTGTATCAGATTTAATGAGAAAAATGGCATCATCAAATCCAGAAGTGATTTTGGCATCATGGACAAATGATAATCATTGTGAATTGTATTCAATCAGTGCCAATGGAGAGAGCAATAAATGTTTTGGATGTGTGATTGGTCATCAAAAAGAAAACATCAAAGAAGCTTTATTGAAACTTGATTTCAGAGTCTTGAATGTGCGACAATTATTAACAGCTGTTGTAAAGCTTGCATTAGAATTTTGTGATGAAGAAGATGATCTTCAACTATCGTGGATTTGTGATGAAACAAATGGAGAACATCAAATCTGTGATCAAAAATTAGTAGACAATGTGATGAAATGCATTTAAAATCCATCTGGCGGTAAAGCTAGATTCTCGGATTTTACTTCTTCTGGGTCCAAAAATTTCCTTTCTGTTTGAATCTTCTTACAAGTTTTTTCACTGACTACCATTTCATTCTCAATAAACATTTTTAAATTTCTATGCTGTTCTGGTGTTTTGATGTTCTTATCAATCTTCTCAAATGGAATTTCCTCGGCAAAGTTTTCATCAACGATGATTGCAATGTCTTTGGTGTCTTCCTTGCTTTCATTTGGAAAATCGGTATAAGCAGGCTGTAAAATCGTCAATTGTTCAGCAACAGTATTTAACTTTCTTCTATGATGCTTTTCGAGACGCTTCTGTTTGATTTCTAGCCGCAATTTATGGTAAATTATGTAGACCAAAATCCACACGATGAACTCAAAAATTGAATAAATAAATACTGCAGTCAGACGCGAAGCCATGTCATTCTCATTTAAAGATATTGATCTAAAAGTAGATAACAAATTAAATCCAATAGCTTTTTATAGCCGTTACAAAATGTAAGAATCTAAGGGTGTGTAATGTGTTGACTACTTTCCAAAATTAAATTTTACCTGCTATAAAGGTTAATTACAGTGTATCCAACATATCCGAATGACAGCAGGAACAATATAATTATGCAAATCCTAAACATTAGCATTCGATTATGATCACGCTAAGAATAAATCACAAAATTACTTCCTTTGTTGTTGGTTCGAAAAAAAATTTAAATTTTTACCGTTCTTAATCCACGGACAAACTCATGAGAAGCATAAGTTAAGCTTCCAAAAACTGTGAGTGAAAAGAATCCAGCAACAAAAACCAGCACCAAATTTTGGATCTGCTTGTTTTCTAGAACAATGATTACTATTAGATATCATGCTTAAAAAAAGAAGCAGTTCCTCTTACGGTCAATAATCTCATGAATGTAAAATATTATTGATCCAAAAGTCATAAAAATGCATAATGAGAAGACAATAAGATGAATCCATCCAATTATTAAATTTACAAATATTAATTTCCTGAACTTTTCCATCCTTACTAGCTTAACTGTTCACTTTACTGTCTAATTTGAAACTAATGAAATTGTGTGAAAACATTCATTACGAAGCCCCCGCTTTCCACAATTTGCATGAAATTTGAATTAGAGAAAATGATCCCCAATGAAGAACATGACTTTTTTTTACAATCCTTAACTGACATACAGAACTAAATTCACATTTCTGACTGGGTCAACTGTGCAATTACTTCCTTGCTATATTTTCTGAAGTCACACCTTTTTGTTTCATACACGACTCGCATAGTTTGAAACTATTTTGGAAATAGCATTTTTCATGACTATGGTAGACAGGCACTGAATTAAGTTAGTCTGCCTACCTTTGGTATTTGAATCCACAAGAGGCTACTTTCTATTGACATTTTTCGATCGATTTAATGAGCTTAAAATTGAAATTCATTTAATATTGAAGATTAGAGCAATGAACTGTGATTGAAATGGATTGACTGGGAAAGATAGAAAATTTCAATTTTATTTTATGAGCTTCAAATGATCAGATATATATATGATCAAAAGCACTTAAAAGCTTTCATTTCAAATTGTATAGAACTGTTATTTTAAAACAACATACTTTAAAGGTGATAAGATACATTTGGAAGCAGATAGATGTTGCCAAAAGAACCTCAAATTTAAACAATTAAAAAGATTAAACCAGAGCAATTTTTTTTGTACTAAAGATCAAGTTATGAACCTCCCATAGTAGTTAACAAACAATCCATTCTTTATGACATTTCTTCTAGTTCTTCCTCACTCTTCCTGAAAATCTTCTTCATAAGTTCTCAGACGAATATTATTTTTTACACCTGACAGTCAATTTGTATCCATCAAAGTTTTAAAGTAATCGTCAGTTCCAAATAATTGATTATTAATAGCAGCAAAGGTCCAAAATCAAGTTGTTGGGTAATTGAGAGATTGAAGTAAATAAAATGCTTATTTATGAGGTGAAGATTAAAAAAGTAAATTAATCAAAAAATACAGGCTAAAAGTACTTAAGTAAATATGCTTGAGGAACGTGGCAGATAAATTGCAAACATTTCAATTACCATGAAATGAGTCAGAACAAATCTTAAAATAAATGCAAACGCTCAATTAATGTAATAACTTTTAAATGTCCAGATGTGCTGATAGAAATGTCATTGTCATCAGAAATTAAATTAATGTCCATTGTGAATTTTCCTGAGTAAGGGAATATATGACTCCATTAAACTGAATATGAAACTGTAAATTATTAACAAAATTTGTAATTAAAGCATACTAAGCTATAAAGAAAACTAGAATAGGTCGATGGATGAATCAACTTTTCATGAACATGCGACAAAAAAGAAGCACACAAAGTCTTCAAATTGATATTCTAATAGAAACAAATATGATTCTGAATAGAGAAGATGACAAGTTCAATTCAGAGCTTTTTCAAACCTGTAAAAAATTCCAATTTAAAGTACGTGCTTTTTCACAGATACATGTAAACTTCCAGTCATTCTGATGCCGCCCTAGGAAAACCTTGAAATTTCAATAGAAAAATGCAAAGAATTGAGTTTATTTTTGTAATATTTTCGATTTATTTACTTTATATACAACTTTTTTTTTTCATCCACATTAGCCTTTCAGATTCTTTTCATCGCCACTTCCCTCCATTAATAGATCAATTATAAATCTATTAATAGTTTTGAAAAAAAAATACCAATGCTCATCAACATTTTATTTTCATTTTAATGTCTCAATAAATTTTTCAAACGAAATGAAAATTAAATTTTTCAAGCATGAGTCACAAAAATGCTAATTTACTGTGTGATAAAAACTATTCTTGGAATGAGAAAAAAAGAGATAAACATCATTAATTGTTTGTTGTGTTTACTTTCTTGAGTGACTATTTCGTCACTTTTTTTGCTTCCTTGCTCCATTAAAAATGAAGATTGATGAAAAAGGAAGTAAAACATAGAGGCGCCAGCATTTTTCCTCTCTTCTCAATTTGTTCAAGTTTGTGGATGAATTTCATTTCGATGAAGATGTAATGTCATCAGAGAAAATTCTTTAAATTTCATTTCAATGACGAGGAAGAAAATATTTCATTTCCATCATTTGACAATAAAATTAATAGTGCAGATAATTCAATCTGACTCGCTGACTATATATTAACAAAGTTTAGGGACGATTTCAGTTCAAACGAAGTTTTCACATCCACAAAAAAAAATAAATCAACCTTTTACTTAATAATTATAAGATTGAACTGGGTTACATCCCTTATCGAGTGAGCATGATTATTGATATTTTCGTTCACAAAATGACAAAAGTTTGAATTTTAAAGGAGGCTTCCGAAGGAAAGGGTCAAGAGCTTTGCGATACTCGATTCAAAAACAACTTATTATATCCAAAATTTTTGATATAATAGCCCTAAAATCTCTATTTTGAATGTATGAAATATGTTTTGACAAGATCTCGAATTCAATATGGTTCTTCTTCAGGTTCTGTCTTCCAAAAAAGATATACACTGCGGGACATCACCCAAAAGTGTAACCTCAAAAATGCGCTCCTTTAATTCAGAAACAAATGCTTAAAAAAAATGTTTTTCCTTTAATTTCAAATTCCTCGCGATTCATGTGATTCAATAATTCTTCTGAATGATGTATCAATGAAAATATATCTGACATGTCGAGCGGCTCGTGCTAATTATTTTGTTAATGTTTTATTTTTTTTATATTCTCTTCAAAACGTTATAATCCATCTTACTTTGTGCTAATTAGATTAACAACATTTTCAATATATTTTATCATTAATTTGGATTTTTATAAATTATTTCGTTTGTGGATTAATATACTTAATATGTTCATGATAATTTTCTCTTTTGTTTCACTTTTATTTTTCATTAATACAAAAATATTTATCTGTTTTTTGTTATTTTTGATTTCATTCTATGTAGGTAGATAATTAGAGGATAGAACAAGAGATTTAGATATACGGAAAAATAAATATCATAAAAGATAAAACAAGCTTTGTCATCGCATGCAAGTAATTAGAGTGCATTTTTTCCGATGCAACTTATTAGTAACTTATCAGGAAAGTGTGCTCGCGTAAAGCTTTAATTAGGTAATTTACAAATATTATTAGTTCAGAAATGTTTGATTTAAAATATTAATTTCTTTTTTTCGCAAGAAATCCAATTAATTGCAATCAAGGGTGCGGAACTGATCAAAAATGATCGAAAATGATCAAAAAATGATCAAAAACTGATCAAAAACGATCAAAAAATGATCAAAAACGATCAAAAAATGATCGGAAATAATCAAAAATGAACAAAAATGATCAAAATCTAATTTTTCAGTTCCGCACATTTGCTTACAATTTAAAAATGCAACTTTAGTTTTACTCCAAATTCTAAGATTTATCCATTTTCATAAGGACATATAATGGCGCAAAATTGCAATTAAAGTGCCAAAATTTTTACTCGAGTGTCAGAAATCCTTATTCTAAGCTAAGTATGAAAATAAAGTATTTGATTCTTCTAAATAGTTTCAAAGCTTCGCAGTGCGCACCTGGATCTTAAAATATATATTTCAAAAATGTCCATAAAATGTCAAAATGTGATTTCATTAAATTAAAAATATTCTCATACAGTAACTTTAATCTCTTACAGCACACCATCCAATGTGACTTATTAAAGACTTGTTTGAGCATTTTGAATACAAAAACAAAAAGTTATTTTAAATCCATCTTCAGAATCGATTATAAATAAAAAACTTGGCAATAATTTTTTTATTTGAATGGAAATTTCCATGATATAACAAATATATCGTCAAAAATGAATATTTGCTGCTCAAAAAGAAAAAAAAATCACAAATGAAATTGTCATGAGCAATAAAAGCCTAATTTTCCGATGAGAAAAAAAAAAAATAAAATGAAACGTTAATTTGCGTAGTACTTGCTAATTAACCTGCATTACGTATGTCTGTTCATTTCACTTGACAACAGTGCACACTGTCATTTAATTAATTTTATTTGAAAAAGACAGGAATTAACAGTTACAAATTTCAATTCCGATAACATTGACAATGAAAATCATTTACTCGATTTCTAAAGTGGTTTTAAATATTAAAATACGGAACAGAATTAACCAGCAATCTCCATTCCAAATGTCATTTATTATACTAAATGTGATGGTAACTCATTCATCTAAAAAAATGAACATCACAAATTTGACCTTTTTTTTCATCATTTTTTAATGACGATTCAACGTTAGCCTATAAAAAGTTGAACTAAATGATACTTAGTAAGTAAATTTACACACTACCTACATATATATTAATTGTGTAAGCTGCAATATATATTTTGCATTATAAATGCTACTTAATGAGAAATTTTTCATTCAAAATCTTAAAATTGTCATTTCACTCTCGTGTTTCATCATTCTTCCTCCCTTCCTTAACATATCACTACAAATTATTGTTTCTCGGTTTTGCAAATCAAGGTGGATCAACTTTACAAGTTTTTTTATTCTAAGAAAATGTTTGGGATCTTTTTAAAATTAGAACTAATTTATTTGAACACGTGTAGACTTAATGAAATGTACAAAGAACTCACAAAAGAAACTATTTCTACAAACAATGTAATTCGAGTCATTACTTACTGATTATAATCATTATTTTCATTAGAATTAAAGGAATTATGAAGTAGTAGCAAACAATGTAATGATTGCAGGTCAATCTAAATTGTCCTGACTAATCAGGAACTGTGGATTTTTTCAAAATCATTTAATAATTTAAGATCTGTTTCTGCCAAAGTTGTTTTTGATCAACAACACACTTTTTTGAGTCAACAGAATTTTTTCAGCACAATGTAAATGTTTTCTGTTTTCAATTTCATCAAATAATTAAGTTTCTCGAAGTTTTCTTGGAAACCTGTAAAAAAGGATGAACTTTGAAATGGAGTCTAACTTTTACTACCATAAAGAGGGTTTTTTCTTGAACTGAATAGTCATTTTATGATCACATTTAACAAATTCAGAACTTATATTTCTAAGTTTATCCACCTTGATTATAATTCATTAAGAAAACTTTCATTCACAAAAAGTTAAATTGTATTTGAAGACAGCTTAAAAATAAAGAAAATTTATCAATGTGTGAAATCAGGAAGTGATCAACTTGCAAATCACAAATAAATGACATGACTTGAGTGTGAATTAAACTCTAATTTGCCTCATGCCGCTTAATTGTTATTACTTTGTTATTTTTTTCCTTAATTACAACAAACAACAATAAAGTGAAAACAAGAAAGAAAAATTTGATAAGCTAAAGATCATGTAACATGGAACGAACAATTAATTAATTTGTCATTCGAGTCCAACAAAGAATTTCTCGTTTTACTCACTCCGTTATCGTTCTTTGAATCTTAAAAGTTTGTGGGAGATATAATTAACAACAACAAAGTTGTGCTATATAAGTTCAATGATAGAAAAAAGAACAATAAATAGAACACTATGGGTGGACAAATGATGATCAGGAAGTAAAATTTGAGTGTTTGATTATGTCATTGTTAAGTAAATTTGTTAAACTTTTGAATAGGGTTGATAAAAGTGATATGACTTGGAATTATGAGAAATGAATTATTCTTTGTAGACATAATCTGTAATTTCTATAGAACTAATTGATCGGTGGTGACTTAATCAGATCCCTAAACACAGACACTTGGTTATCAACCCTAATTACAAAGTTCAAACACATCATTAATCTTATTTTTGTTATTTGTTATTCCTTAAAAAAATGTTTGCACGTCAAACTTTTGTCGTCGGTGACGCATTTCTTTAAAATTTGTCTCACAAATGACACGATAAGAAGTTGCGTAATGTTTTCATCATCTAAACTTCTAGAGAACTACTTTCAAGTTATCTTTAAAGAAAACAAAAATATTGAAGTCTTGAAAATAAGCGTAATTCACATACTTCAATTCTATCTCAAAACAAACTAAAGTGACATACTAAAAAGTTGTGTGTTTTTGTTCCTAAAAAAAAATACGATAAAGAAAATACAAACTGATAGAGAATTTACGCACAGGAAAACAAAAAAAAAAGTCGAAAGATAAAAATAAGAATAAATAAAAATAAATATTTTTTCAATTAATATTTGTATTTATACTTCAGGAAATCAAACATATACATAATGACGTACAAATTAAATAAAAGAAAAAAAAATCACTTAAAAATAAAGAAATACAAACATATAAGTGATAAGAGAAACTCCATAAAAACACGAAGTGCAAGAAACTAAAGACAATTGAAACCAAAATTATTATAAAAGAAGATAATCATCACATCTAACTAGAGGAGAACGTCTGATAATTATTATTTAAATTTAAGAGAAAAAATTTTTTTTTTGTGATTTATAATTTCTATTACTTCTATGAATTTAATATTATTATATGCACCTAATTTGTAATTTGTCGGTTTTTTTAATTGTAATGAAATTTCCATAAGTTTCAGTCTTTGTTGAAAAATTCAGCCAGACTCTTGCTTAACATCAAGTCAACGAATTAATCATTCGGCTGGTGTCTTGAACTTGTTCATGCAATAGTCACTATTTTGTCAGTTGTGACAGAGCAGCCGTCGAGGAAAATTAATCATGTCTAGCAAGAATCTAGCAAAACTTTTCCAAGGCTGAATTTTTTTTTATCACATAAAAATTAAATTATAATAAAAGTTATTGTAGTCAATAAATCATTTCCTTTTAATTTTGTTTTTTTGTTGTAACTCGTGCCAATGTCAAGTACGTTCAAGTACCAATAATCCATATCAATCATCGAGAATAAGTTATACATATACACAGAATGTGACAAGCTCTTCTTATACTTGTTATTATTTTCTTTTTTTGCACTTTCGAGAAAAGAGAGAGAAATTCTCCTGTTAAACAACACATGATGGATGATGACGCCTGTCCTGTATAAATTGTGGGCAGTCGAAATATTTCTCATATTTCCATACATGTTATTATTAAGATTATTTTATCCTTGAGAAAATATTGTTAGATTTTTGACATGTTATTTTTAGAAGGTATTTTGGCTAACTTATAAGTCACAACTTCTTCTTAATTTGACAAATGGATGGTCTATAAATTCGTAAAGTCTTTTCAAAAATCTGACAATATTTTTCTCAACGCTCATCAATAAAGAGGCATAGAAACACAAAAGGCTTAACTACACATCTCAAAAAAATAGCTTTATTCATTCATCGTGTAGGATTCTTTTACCTAAGGTACAATATTAATATCGTCTATTTTTATTCTATTAGGTATATGGCAACTTTTATGTCAGTATTCGTCTTCCATATCATTAAAGCTATTCTTAAATTCTTACAATAATCAGATTTTTTTTGGCTGATTCAATATTGTATCACTTAAGTGCCTTTATATTTCTACGCCACTCGAGATAAAAAAAAATAAATCTTTATGACTTCTCTAGTCTCAAAAGTACTAGTCACACTCGCTCTCTTAATTATTATTTTAATTAATTCACAATTTTCTGATTTATTTTATTAATTTTATTCTTATCATTTTTTTGATGATGATGTCAAAAATAAATAGGACATAATCTACATGTCAACCTGCTTACGAGGTTATTAACTCAAATTTCTCAATTGTGCATCTCTTATTGGTCGTTAATTAATTGGTTATTGACATTTGTTTTTTTTTTTTTTTTCTTTATTCCCTAATCATCGACGAGTTTCATGACTTTATGATACGATTAACTGTCGATTTGTCATACTGTATATTTTTTAAAGTGACGCATAAATTGATAAAAGAAACACGATTAGTATTTGATTTCGATTCACCTTCACATACAAAGAAATAAAATCGGTAAAGTAAGTAAATAAGCACGGTTGAAGCACTTCAATCAGCTGACTGACTAAACTTGTGTGGACAAGAAACAACTGTTTAACTTCTGTTTTGTTTGTATACTTGGTTTAATTTGGTTTTATAAGTCAAATGCCGCTGGAGATGTCTTTGTATTGTATCCAAGTTTCTTTTTGCTACTGTTTAATCAGAATATGATGAAAATATCCAAATCTATTTATGTCTGTTGTTGATAGCCACTTGAAGATTATTTTTAATTCGTAAAAAAAACGATCGTCGAAAAGAAGAAAGAAATACAACAGCAACAACAACAACAACAACGAAAAAATAAGACGACGAACAGAAATGTTTGCAGTGTTGACTAATTTTCCGCTTTTCTTGTTCCTTGTCTAATTAGTATCAATTTAAACAGCTTCAAACAAGATTTCAGAGAGAATTCGTTTTAAGGATGAAATTCCTGTTAGAAAACCACCATCCGGTCCGTGATGAATCAATTTAGATTCATTCTCATCCAAATATGGTGATGATTCCTTCTTGTTGAAGGTCGTATGTGCAAAATCAATAATGCGAACGTCAAAAAGTGGAGAATTTTTATTATTACTGCTATGTCCATTTGTGTGAGAACTATGTTTTAATTCCATGCCCAAAATACCGTCATTCTCGCAAGATTTCTTCTTTTTTATACTCGGATGCTCCTCTTGCTCACCGGACGCATTATAGAATTTTGTCTCACCACTCTCACTTACGATAATTGTGTCAATATTACTACTAAGTGATGACAACTGATCATCTTCTTCAACATCTTCCTCGACTTCAATACCATCATCTGTTTCATGTGTCTTACTACTACTAGAATTTCCGTCGCACAATGTTGGCGATGTCATTAATTTATCATCTTTGTCTTTGGATAATTGTAGAAATGGATTTTCATGAACTTTGGCAGTGTCCTCTTGTGTCCTCGACAATGATATATTATTATCAATTTTCGATTTCTTAAACGATGAAGTCATCGATTTGGCATTGACAAAATTAATCTTATCATACACATCCACATCGTCGTTACATTGCGTGACGTCATCATCGTGTAGATTCAACTTTGTACCCTTGCGAACAATTACTTCTTGCGTTGAATATTCATCGCTACTGTTACTATAATTAATCCACGAATCCATTGAATGTGGCGAAGGTGCACGATTTTCAGGCAATAAAAGATACTTTGCATTATCTATATGCTCCTTGTCTATATCCTCTAGATTCCCTGAATCTCTCGCTCGAAGATCGGCATATAAACTTTGATCCATATTTGATTCATCTTCATGACCAATTCCACCATCGTTTTCACTTTCATCGTTTAATAGTGGATTATTGTGATGGTGATTTGAAGTATGTAAATCAATTGAACAATTGGAAATATCGGCATCATAATTGGAATTATTTATTGCTTCGACGCGCTCTGACTCGACATCACTTCCTTCGTACACTAATAGTAGGGAGCTGTGAATGAGAAAAGAAAGAAAGAAAAGATGAAAAATATTGGAATGCTGATTCAAATTAAAAGAAAGAGTTTTCATTTTTATTTATTTTTAAAATACGCAAAAAATTCCATTTTTCCTTTTTTTAAAACGCAATAAAATTCCTCCTTTAAAATTCTTTTCTTTACCCTAGCTCGCTTTGAATGAGTATACTATAACTTAAGTAATTAAAATTAATTCTTATTTTGTGGCATTAAGTTCAAAAAAATGACGACTTTTTCCAGATTTATTAAAAGACCGCTCAGCAAGACACACACAACAGAATTTAATGCGTTCCAGTTTTCCATTGGTTTTCATTGACATTCAAACTCTCAATGCTCAATAAAAATTTTTTCTGTCGGCGCTCAACTCACCATGAATAAAATCGGTAGCTAGACTGCTTCTCTATCACAGTATGTAAGTTTTCAAGTCGTGCCAGCACTTTTTCAATAACTTTTGTACGAAGACGAATGCCATTATGGAAGAAATCATGAATTGCTTTTTTGAACTGCTCTTCGCTCAACTGTCTACCCCAATATTTATCGCGCCTTAAAAAGTTCTTGTCATGATAATTAAACTTTTGTAGTCCACATAATCGCACGCCAAGAGAGCCTAATATGCAGCAAGTGATGAGGGAAAAAAAATTAATTAAGATTCGCGTGTAAAATTACAAAGTAATTGAATCAAAGAGATGAATAATATTTAATTTAACTGACCTGATGTGCTTGCCGCGCACTTGGCCATTTGTTTTGATCGTTTCTCAGCTGATGCATCATCACCTATAAACGACAGACATGAGTTTTGTTAATTATATCTGATACAATTTGTCTTCGTTTTCTTTACACATCAGTTGTACCGACAAATGTGAATTTATAAACACAAAAAATAATAATTGATACTCACCATGCTGTCTAGTTCCCATTTTTAAATCCAATATACATGGTTGTTTGAATTTTGATGTTATATTTTCCAGCATCAAAAAATCTGTAAGTACACGGAAAAACAAATATTTTCTCGTTAATTAAACAAGATAACACGATGCATCTTTCCAAGTTTAGTTTGCTTAAATTATGTAGTTTCTCGTAGCTATTTTTGCTGTTAAACATTTAATATTTATACAGTAAATTGTAAATTTTCCATCAGCTGATTGCAAGGCAAAAATGTAATCGAGTTTTGGAGGTGTGCATGTGAATGAAAACAAAAAATAAGAAGCTTTACATCATCGCTGCGTGAATGTATGAGAAATCTTTTCGTACGATCAGCTGGAAGTACGACAGACAACAACAATTGTGAAGTTAAACTCGTTTCATAAATTCTCATGTGTTGTCGTTCTTTTCATCTATTTTATTCCCTCCTTCTGTAAATCATCTATAAACATCTATTTCGGCTCGTGACAGTACTCAAAATTAAGTTTCAAATCAAATGTGCACTTTAAGCGTAAATGCATAACAAAGATCCACGTGCATCACATTAAGTTTATTAAACTGTCGATGATTTGTTTATAATTAGTGCAAAAATGGACGTTTATCGGATTTGAAAAGCTTAATTAGATTGAAATTGAACTTATTTTTATGCCTACACAAATCGATACCTTTCTGTCTTTGTTTGAAATTACCTCGATGTGGCATGTGCATGTGAAATGCATTTTCCTCCCATGCTCGAATATTGACATTCAAGAAGCCCTAATCTTTATTATAGAATCATCTAAACATACAAGTTCAATGCAAAAGTGTGCCAATAAATTAAATAATAGTATGTATATGGATGTTGCCTCGTAATTTTCTTTTTCTTCATTTCTTCTTCATCAATTTATTATGTCTATATACAAGTGAAACTAACAGCATGTAAATGAGAGTGAAATGATTCATGCAATGCTTTTTCACTTAGCAATAGAATTACATTACAATTTTAACGTGTCAAATTTATGTCGACTGCCGTAATTTGATGGAATTAATAATAATAATGACGATATTAAATCATTCTTGGTATTACAACGAATAATGACTGATTCAACAGTAATTTCTACATGAAAACTGTTTCTTTTTTGTTTCGGAATTACCCACGAATTCCACGTAAAATTTAAATTGAGGGTGTTTATTGAAAGCTTTCAAGTTAAAACAGCTGTTTCCAGTTTAAAACCTGTCAACAACAATGTCTATTTGTTATTGAAAATTCCCAAAAAATTCATGACAGTTCCTTTGACTTTAAACTGAGTGCTGTTTTGGATTAAATTTCACTTTGAATTGTCTCGAGGTGAAAGAAGGCAGACAAAAACATAATGAGCGTCAGTTAATCCGGAAAAGAGAATTTGTACAAAAAGGCATGCTTACATAAATAATTAAAATCAAGAACGGCAAGAATGAAAAAAAGTTCAAGGTTTTGAAATTGTACCACTTTAGAGCTACACTGACCTCGCTTATAAAATAGCTCTATTTAGTCAGATACAGACTACACATGCACATTTTTATAAAGATTTGATTAAAATATCGCTCATCAAAAGGATTAAGTACTTTATACACAAATTGAAACTTCTCAGCGCGCGAAAAAAATCTTATAAATCAATTTCATCAAAAACAGTGTCGGTAAATTATACAATGTGATGATCTTAATGAGCTTCTTGACAAAATGATTCATGCTGTTTTATGTTATAAACAAATTTCTTTTTGCGCCTTTTCATATTATTTTGTATCGATCGATTTTATGGAGAATGACGGTGCTTTGTTTTCGTAACAGAAATGTTTGATTTGTATTTAAATTTATTTTCTTTGCTGACACATGGTGACACAAAACGTATGTATGAGCGGTAAAGAAGCCGATCGAAAGCAAAAATAAGAATGAGAAAGCAAATGATTGAAAATAATAATGAGATACATACGTAACATGTATAAAGTACAATTGTATACAAAAATATAAATGTGCAAAAATTGAAAAGAGCTTGCCATGCGATATTATCAAGCTATTGTCATCGGATCTTGAGTATATGCACGAAATCGCACATACTTCTGTTTACTTTCAATGAGAAATCCCCAAAAAAAGTCATTTAGGAGACAAAAATTGTACAGTACAGTCGATGATGATATGCAATTTTCTTCTGTATATGGTTAAATGGGTGTTCATTTTATTATGAATTGTTCTCATGGTAGACGTAATGTCTACTTAGTAAAACCTTTTAGCAGAAATGATCTATTCAATTTGAATAAATATCGCGATACAATGACGTCAACACGAGTCATCAGACATTAAACAATTCTGTAGATTTCAAAGAGGCACAACAAGAACAAGAAAAAGAATATTTAGGAGAGATAATCAATGGAAGTTCGTTTCAATTCAAAGTCGACTCATGACGTAACTGATGATCTAACGTGTATTTTCCTTCAACGTGTTTACAAATAATTGAGATATTTCTTTGAAAACATGTAAACAGAATAGTTTGGATGGACACACGCGAAACTCTAGCCATTGAAAATCGATTAAAATTTTCAGAGATTTCTGTTTTTCGACCTAAATTAAGCAAATAAGAAACTTTTCCTCCCGTTTAATTTTTTTTTATACGCACATTGCTTATTACTGTTGTCTAAAATAGAAATACTTTTCAGTACTTCTGTTGCATTTCCATTTTTATGAATTTTCATTCTGTAAAAAAATAGAGATAAAAGAAAAATTCTTCGATTAGAAACTGTCTTATAATTTTTTTGATTTTTTTAAATATTTTTTTCGAGATCACTTAAAACAAAAAAAAAAAAAACATATGATATAGGATGTAGAACGAAACAAAAGAAATATGAGTAAATAATTGTGAGAACAAACGAACAAGCAAGATAGTCAACGACCACACAAGTCACTTGAGCGTTTTAGCATAAAATTAGTATTCCTTGTCATTAAAACATTGCGAAATCTGGCGCATTTTTATTTACAGCGGAAGTTATTTCAGGTTGACTAGGTATGTTTATAATGCATAAGATTAGCCAATACAAAATTGAATATTCATAAACCACGTTTCATTGCAAGCATGCCGATTAAATGCAGAAACACACCAAACGCTTGTTAAAATCAATTGACATGTGCTGTAAAATGGATTTATGGACGATTAGAACACACTTTTTGAACAGAAATAACAAGATTATTGGAATCAACGCTAATAGGATGGAAAATAGTCGCAAATTCCTTTTAGCAAACAAAATTTAATTAACACTTGAATACATTTCCGTGTTATGTATATAATTTATAAATATTTTGCTTTTTATACTAGCTGATGGTCATAACGAGGGAGGATATATATTAATTAAGTAAAGCTATAACAATAATTAAGGCGAGAAAAGTCGTAGTGAGATTTCACTTATAAAGCTATTGTAGGAATTGATATATCAATGTTTGTATGCAAATATAGCACAGACTCGTTGGCAAAGCTGCTTATCAGGAAAGAATATTGAGCATATTGAGCAAGTAATAGTTCAATGGCAAACCTAATTAGTCAGCTGGTTGATTGAATGAATATGTAAATAAATAATGACAATAAACTAAACAAACAATGAAGATTGTAGCAATAAATTAACAATATAACAAAAAGAACAGGATGATAAACAGATGAGTTGAGATATAATGTTTGAATGATCGATACTAACCGTAGTACTTCGTCTCGTTTCCTTTTTGTAGAACTTTGACGCCTCAGTGATTCATCAACTTTAAAATTGGGGCTGTAGCGTTTCTCGAATTCCTCGCCCGTTGAAGCTTGCATCACACCTGATTTGCATAGGATTTAAAGAAATGATAATAATAAGGAAATGCACATACATAGATTCCAAATAGAAGTAAAATATTTCATGAATGCTCCTTATGATGCTCTCATAACATAGCACATACATACTATTATTTGCAAACACAGAATATCAAGGTCAAAGCCATAAACATTTAAAGGTTACTACGCTTAGTGGAAATGGAAAATAAAATCAATGATTTTCCTCCTTCCTCACACTCACAATCACAAAGCAGTTCATAAAGAGTTCACAATTCTTTCAGCCATAGGCAAACTTATTTTCCTCACTCCTTATATATTCATTCATTTACACTAACACAACGAGCGAGTGAATGAAAATGGGGAAAATTCCTTCATCATTTTGTGTCACAGAAAAGTTTTCATTCATTCATACACAGAGCATGGTGTTGTTGTATTTTTATTATTCTAGGAGATACGAATTTTCTTATGTGTGTCATGCAAGTTTTCATCATTCTTATTAAATAAGTAAATTTTCGAGCGTGAGCTCTGTGAAACCCTCTCTCTGCTTACATGAATCACACAATCATCTAGAGCAAGCACGCATCAAGCATTATTTTCTTTTTTTTACGCAAGTCGACTTGAAAGCCGTACAAATACGAATTTATAGGGAATTGTATGGTTTTAGATTGGACGGCAGTCATTACCTTTATAATTTGGAACAAAATGCTGAATGTCATTTCCGGGAATGTTTTGATAAAATTCCAATTCACGAATGTTGAGTGGCTTAATGACAGTTTTATCATTTAATAATAATAATCTTGTGTGTCCCCCAACTTGATTTGCAAGTGGATACAAATTAATTTCATCGTGCTTAGCATCATCATCGTCACTCTCGGATGAATTATTGTTTGTCAAAATACTGTGAGGTTTTAAGAATTCATTTAGATGATTTGTAGCTGATGATAAACTTTTACGATTTCTATTATTATGGACTTGATCAGCTGATGTTGGTGAGTCTATAGGAATTTGCGTTGTTGTACCTTTAAAAAGTGAACTCAATTGTGTTGGATCATGATTATTAAAAATTGGTTTCGGTAGCTGAAGATGCGTTTCTTTGCTTAATATTCCTGACAATGTCGTTTCATCCATAAGTGGTATAAGTGAATTTAAGACCATTCAGTCTGCCTTTTTTTGCCTCGAAAATGTGAACTGGTAATAATAATTATTATTATTATATTTTTAATATTTTTGTGGGATTCACTGCACTTTAAGTGGCTCTTTTATAGCTCTCCTTTTAATTTTTATTAAACTTTCACTTTATATTAAATAAATGTCACACTCCGTAGATCCGTGACTCACAATTCTTTAATTCTATTTCTGTGGAACTCTTTATATATTTTTCTTTTTTCACAACGTCTAAATAATCTAGCAAGCAAGCAGCACTTATATTATTAAATCGCGTATCTTTTCCTTTTTTCTCAAAAAATCTTCACAATGAATTTTGAAAAAAAAAAATCAATTTTTATTTTTTAATTTTATAGCTTTTAACATATCATATTCGACTCATGTTTATGCTCATTCTGTAGCTTTTATACAACTTAGTTTATTTAATATACTTAAGCGTTACATTTCGATTATAAAGTTATTAAAAAACTAAAATATTACAGAGAGAAAATTTTCATTCAGAATTTTAGCTGAAAAGTTCTCTCGACCTCACTGAATTGGATTATTTTGTCATTTCCACGAGAAAAAGTATTCAGCACTGTTGCTACAGAGTTGATATTATGGTTTCTTATTGATATTTTAAAAAAGTGGCTTTAGCTAATTTACAAGACTTCTCATCTTTTAATAATGCTATTATATAATTAATTGAATATGAATTTCAGTTGTATCATAAAGCACAGCTCAACAACTGTATGTAAAGTCTGTATTTTCAACTCTGTTTTTTGTTGGGAAAAGTAAACAAACAAGTTCTCGCGCTTTCAATTTATTTTTCGACTAATTTACTACTCCTCAAGTTACTTTAATTAATTAAAATCATCAATAAGTCAATAAGTAATATAATTAAATCAAAGTGATTATCAAATAACACGAAAAACATCTTAAAATGCCATTTGCTAACCAACCTGTGGTAACAATCACCGAATTAACAGGAGAAAATGTCAAATTTATCGTCGAGGAAACAGAATTAAGGTAAACAAACTTATTAATCAATCAAATAAAGTCATATTATAGCTTTTAAATAACTTGTAGTGTTGCAAACAGCTTAAGACGAGTATTTATAGCAGAAACTCCAACAATCGCCATCGATTGGGTACAATTAGAATCAAATACAACAGTTCTTGCTGATGAATTTATAGGTAAATTATTTTTATCCATTTCAAAAGAAACATAAAATTTATAGATATTCTCTTCAGCTCATCGAGTTGGTTTGATTCCATTAATTTCTGATGATGTTGTGGACAGAATGCAGTACAGTAGAGATTGTGTATGTGTTGACTTTTGTCCAGAATGCAGCGTAGAATTTACTCTGGATGTTAAATGTTCTGATGAACAGACTCGTTTAGTCACAACTGCTGATTTAAAATCCAGTGATCCAAGAGTACTTCCAGTTACAGCAAGAAATCGTGAAGACGATGATAACGAGTATGGTGAAAAGACGGAAGAAATCTTAATTGTTAAGCTTCGACAAGGACAAGAGCTGAAATTAAGAGCATATGCAAAGAAAGGATTTGGTAAGGAACATGCTAAATGGAATCCAACGGCTGGCGTTTCGTTTGAATATGATCCTGATAATGAAATGAGACATACATTGTTTCCAAAACCTGATGAATGGCCAAAAAGTGAACATTCAGTTCTCGAAGATGATCAATGTAAGTATTTCATGACACTAGTTAATATACTGTATTAACAAAATCTATTATTTCTTGCAGACGAAGCTGATTATAATTGGGAGACAAAGCCAAACAAGTTTTTCTTTAATGTTGAATCAGCAGGAGCTTTAAAGCCTGAAAATATCGTATTGATGGGTGTACAAGTTCTTAAAAATAAACTCTCAAATCTTCAGACACAACTCAGTCATGAGACACAAACTAATGCTCTAGCTATTTAAATTTACAACATTACAAGCTAGTTTTTATTCCTTAATTTTAATAAACTGAACATCTTCTAATAAAACACACGGAAAATTTAAAACAATTGTACTTAATAAGGGTTTTCATTAAGAAATTTACTATATGTAGTTGCTTCCTCATTCTGTCCATTCGATTCTTCTCTTGTTGTGTCACTTTTTGATGCATCTCGATATTTTTGAAGGAACATCTTTAATGGATCTATGTAATTGTCGAATCCCAGATTCTGCATTGCCCATAAAATATCTTCACCATTCATTGTTTTCCTCTTTTCATTTGAACATCGCTCGGATGCTTCTGAAGTAATAAAAGATATAAATTCGGATACGCACTCTTGTACACACTCTCTGGCATCTTTTGCAATCTTTCCTTGAGTATTGACTGGTATTGCCTTTTTCATTATTTTTGCAATATTTGCAATCGGAAGGAATCTGTCTTGTTCTCTCAAAAAGCCTTGTTCTAAAAATGTCATTATATGCTTAATTCATGTCGATTAATATGAAAATCATCTTTACCTGATTCTGATTCATCCTGAACATAGCTATCAGCCATATCATACTGATCTGATGTATTCATTATTATCTTAATCAATATTGACCTATATTTACTTATTTAAAGCAATTTTTTAATAATTATAAAATTTTATGCTTATAAACAACAATCGACACTAATACAGATACAAAATGAACAGGGTGACACAAAAGTTTCTTTTGAATTTTATTTTACCGTTAGTTTTACAATCTATTAATTTATTCGCATTAATGCATTTAAACCATTAAGTTCTTACAAATCTAGGTTCGCTAATGAGAGACAAATTGAAAGACTTGGCAGGTGATTCCATTTAGTTGGAATGAAGGGAGGAACATGATTTAAGTTTTTAATTAAAGTCAGAATCAATATTTAAGTTCATTTGTGATTGCGTAGCGCTAGAACTGCTGGGAAATACCCGATTTCCTTTTCGATTTCTTATGTCATGCAATCGTCTTCGATGCTGGAAGTAATTTTGTTTATTGTTTGTGACAAAATTGCATATTTCGCATACAAACTCGCCAAGAACTCGATGGTGTATTTTCCGAACATGTTGTTTCAGTAGATCCTCATATTTGAAGGAACTTCCACAGTCAGGATATTCACAAACATAACGATTTGGATCTAAAGAATTTTTAAAATAGCTTATAAATATAACAGAAATGAGCCTTAATTTGATCAATTTACCGAGATCAACTTCTACATGCTGCCGTAAGTGATGTTTTCGTAAACTTTGCTGATTCACAAAACTCTCATTGCACACTGGACATTTATATCCTTAAACAATTGATTAAATGAATTATTTTTGACATGCCATTTGTGCATAATAATAATTACCGTCAGGATTCAGATGTCGTTTTCGGTGATATCGTAAATTGGCACTGTTATGGAAGCTTTCGCTGCAAAATTCGCAAACAAATGGCCTTAAATCTAAATGAATATTTTTATGCTCGTTCAATATCCTTAACTCCGTAAATTGCATGCTGCACACATCACATTGGAATTTCTTTGGCCTATTTAAAGTGACTATTAGATTCGTGCATTATTTTACCAAAGATTAAGGTAGTTTACCTGTTAACGCGAACTCTGGGCCTGTCTAAATGGGCAATTTCTATATGCTTCCTCAGCTGATACTTAAAGTTGTATTGCATCTCACATTTGTCACATTGGAATTTGTCTCGATGAGCTGCAGCTGTATGATTATAATATTTCTTCGGATTGTCAAACTCTTTTAAACACACTTTACATGTTAAATTCCTTTCCTTCTTTATTTTAATGCCTGTAGATGAAGACGACCTTCTTTTTCGATTCTTTCTTCTTTTGGATGTTGGCGTTGACTCAAATTCATCATCACTTCTTTCAAATCTGTCATAATCCGATGAATCGTTCAAGTATTCTTCTGTATAGCTTTCAATCATGTTGTCTTCTTTAATATCCTCTACAGACTCAAATGCCTCAGTGTGCAAAATAGAATGTGACAATAGATGAGTGATAATTTGTAGCTGGAAATTTACACTTTCCTGACATTTACAGTATTGCAAAATAGGCCCGTCTGTATGAATGCTAAAAATAGACAAAGATTAATTAATCAAAATATAAAAATATCAAAAGAAATACTTTAACTCACCTGTAATCTTTATGTTGTTGTTGAAAATGTTTAATTAATAAATTATAATATTTTTGTCCGTCTTCACACAAAAAACATTCTCGAGGATAATCCTCAGAATCCAGTGGTTCTGGTTTCACGAAAAATTCCATTATATTTAAAGATATTACAGCTTAATTAATGTAAATTTAATTTTTCAAGTAAAATTATTAAAAACAAACAAAGTCCTCAATGTTTTATTAACTTATTACATAAAGCGCATTAAGGATATTGCTTGCTTTTAAGTGAGTCAAACAAAGTGAGCAGTGTGAGCAGCTATAAAGTTTAAATTAGACTCAAAACAAACGAAATGTTCGAAAATTCGGAATTAACCAAGGGAATGAATTCAAGTAACGAGTTTGATGTTACAGCTCGGAAATGACAAAGGCGCACTCGACTTCTCTTATAGATCAATTAATATCCTTAAAATTCTCGTACGTATTTCAGTTACGTAATTTTACGTAAGACACTCCCGGAAGTTTTTAACTGGATCTTGCAGAGGTGCAAACGGATTTAAAAATATCTCAGTATAGACAAAATGTCAACAATAAAAGCACTTTCCTTTAAAAAAATGATCTAAAATTATCCAAAATCAAAGAAAAATAGCAGAAAATTAAATTTATTAAAAATAATGGATTCGGTAAACGAGAGGCGTTTAAGGATTGTTTTCGGTAAGTTGTAAAGCTTTGTGATGTATTAAAATAAACAATAATTAAGTTATGTCACTGTCTTAATGTTTAACTTAATATTTGCATTTTCTCGACATTTGATTTTTATGTATGAGGTTATAAGGCTTGAAATAATTATAAATTTAATTAATTTAAGATGCTATCGATTTGGGAAACAATAAGAAGGCACTTCAAGAGGTCGAGAAGGTTTTGAAGAAAACGCCAAACTTAAAAACTGGATTAGCACTCAAAGCATTATCATTAATTAGACTAGGAAGAGAAAGAGAGAGTCAACAGATTATCAATGAACTCGAAAAGGATCCTGAAGATGATTCGACGCTGCAAGTTATGACTTATTGCTATCGAGAATTAGATCAGTGTAAGTGATATGAAAAATATCAATACTTGACATAATTTTACTGTTTCCTTTGTAGTGGATAAAATATGCAAAGTTTATAGTGATGCTGCAAAGAAAATGCCGGGAAATGAAGAGCTCTTGACACAATTATTCATGGCTCATGTACGTGTCAACGACTATAAATCTCAACAAACTGTCGCTTTGCAGCTATTTAAGGCAAAGCCGAAAAATCCTTACTATTTTTGGGCTGTTATGAGCGTCGTTCTTCAAGCTTTACGTGGATCAGAATCCAAAGATAAGCAAAAGGCAAAAGTTCTACTGTCTCTTGCTCAAAAAATGATTGACAAGATCATTAAGGAGGATAAAATCGAAGCTGAACAAGAAGTGCAGTTATATCTAAGTATCCTCGAATATCAGGAAAAGTATGAAGACGCACTTGAATTCCTTCAATCTAAAGTGTGCATTGAAAAGTTTCCTGGTGCACCGATTACAATTAAAATTGAAATTTACAAGAAGCTCAAAAAATGGAAGGAACTTATGAGTTTGTCCCAAGAACTCCTTCAAGAAGAGTACGTTTACTGTAGATTTCTATTTTGTACTTTTAATTAATGTATTGTTATTTCTTTCAGTCCTGATAGATGGGATTATTATCAAGATTATCTATTGGCATGTTTCGAACTAGTAAAGGATGGAGACAACTCGGTCATTGATTTAAGCTTTAATTTTATCACCGATGTAAGATTAACACACTTTATAGACACCTGTGGATTATTAAAATTCATATTATTATCTATAGATTCTAAAATCAAATAGCAAAGTGAGGGGACCATACTTAGCTCGAATTGAAATGCATAAACGAATGCGAAATAATAATTTGGATCCAGAGAAACTTTTTGGCGACTATCAAGACCTGTTGATTGAATATTTTAGTATATTTGGAAACAAGAAGTGCTGTGTCAATGATTTAAAAATGTTTTTAGAACATCTACCCGTTGAACGTCGTTCAAACCTAGCTTCAAAGCTTCTTCAAGATACTGGAATTAGTTCAACTACTTTGCCACAAAATGTTAGTAGTAATGGTATTTAAAATAATCACAGATTAACACAAATTTAAATCAATTATAGAAGGATCAACTGCAGAAGCATATTTGTTCATTGCAAATCTCTCGATTATGTGGATCACATTCAGCTTTATCGATTGAACACTTACAAGCTCTTTATTCAGCATTAACATTGCATTATGAGCATAGTTTTAGTGCTTTTGGAAAGGATTTATTATCCACAGATATCGGACCATCAGATCAGTATTCGATTTTAGCTGGTGAGTTAGGTTTTATCAAAAGGAAATGCCAATTTTAACAAGAAAGTAAATGAAAATTTCTCATATTCCAGCACATATAATGTACGATATAGCAATCAAATCAAATTCATCATATCGACTCATCGAAACGCTTCACTTTCTCAATTATTTATTGAAAAATAGTCCAAGTAATTTCCATGGAAAGCTTTTATGTCTGCAAATCTTTCATATTCTTGGTTGTGGCATGGGTGCTCATAAAGTTTATGATTCGCTAGACATTAAGCACATTCAACTTGATTCCATGGGATATCTTCATTGCGCTCATTTACCTTCGACTGCTTTAGCATCCTTATCTAAGCCAATTTATGATCAAACATTAAAGTTCTTTACTGCATCTTATAAAGATAGTTTGGAATATCTCGCAATGTCATACAAATATGGTTCGTTCTCAAAACTTCAGGAATTTATGGATTTTCGTGAAAAACTATCTAATAGTTTGCACTATTCTATGGTTTCCGTCGAAGCTCTACTTCAAGAGATTATTGCTTTTAATGGAACGAATCAACAAAATTATTTACAATTTCAAAATATGAAAATTGAACCAAATGAAGATCGCATAAATTATGAAGAATTGACAGACAATCGTGATTTAAATGTTATGCTTCGATGGGATCCAATAAGAGATGAGAATAATGAATCGCTTTATGATAAAATTAAGGAAATTGAAAAGGAAAGTTTTAATCAAGACGTAGTCCTTCTTCGAATTAGATCAACTTTATTGAGACTTGTTGCATCGTCAGTCGAACTGATTCATACACCATATAGAAGCTTAAATACCAAAGAGCAGAATGGTCACAGTTCAAATTCTTCTGTTGAAGATGGCGATGAAAGTCAAACAATTCTAATTGATACTTGGGATTCACATTTTAAACTCATTGAAATACTTAAGTACCAACAAAGTTCATCGCAATTTCTAGTCAATTTATTGCCATCACGGCTTCATGTTATATTACAATTGCCTTACAATAAGGTATTTTCATTGTTAGGAAAATTTGTACACAATTTATGGATGAGTAGTGTTGAAACAAAGGAATTAGGAAAAGCATTACAACAAGCCTTTTTGGATTTAAAATCCTTTATTGAAACTTTGGAGCCCGTTAACGAAACATCTAATTTATTTTATTACCGAGATTTACAAGCCAAATTTATTGGATGTGTTGAGGTAATTACTTCTTATGATGCCTTTAATTTAAATAAATATTAAATAAACTTCATGTTCCAGATAATGTCATTGTGCTCGTTTGTTTTGTCATTTTGTTATGATAAATGCAGTCATAATCAACCACAAACTGTATCCAAAAAGAAGAAGCAACAATCGAATTTGGAAGTAAATGAAAATTCAAAGCAAATTACGATAAAGGAAAAGATTTCATTGATCACGGACATAATGAGGAATCTTAAGAGTGCACTTAATTCAGCTGAAAATTCTCTAGGTTTGCTCAATTGAAACTTTAATATCATTAAAAGTTAATTTAAATTCTTTTAATTTCACAGAGAAATTGAAGCCAATAAAAGTGGAGAAGAATCTGAACGAATATCTTGCATCCTTATCAATTACTCCAAAAGAATCTAATAAGACTAATAATAGTGAAACAGCTAGTGTCATAACGACCGTTAATATTGACATTCACACTATTTTCGATGAAAATTATCAGCAGAGCGTTAAGGAACTTTCAATGTTAATAAAAGATAAACTGAAACTGATTAACGTGAAGTAGGAAATCTTGAGATTTTCATACGTTTTGTTTTAAAGCGAAGCAGTAAGAAGTAGAATAAGCTTTTTCTATAATTCAAAAGAAAAGTGGTCAACAAGAAACAACAAAAAATATTCAATTATAAATTAATTATGTTATGATGAAAGACATAAAGATGAAAAGTTGAAAAATTGCTTGATTTAAATAAAATTTCAAAAAAAATTTTAAACTTAACGTTGTGTTTCTCATCATGAGCCTTAAATGATTCCACAAAACCGATGTCATAAATCTACTGAAAGTCATTTTAAAAATTTGCATAGTATGCACAATCAGTAAGTTATCAGGTAAGGTCATAAAGTCATAAATAGTTGAAAGAAAGAAAGAAAAATTTTAGACTTTCAGGAAAAACTTCCATGAGAGTTTATAGCTTTATGACAGTCCAAGAAGTCAACTAAGGTGCAATAAAGTCCCTTCATCATGTCCCAAATGATTCTCCTGAAAATCTCAAATTTCATGCATATTTTTCTACGTTATTCAATGCAAATTGTTCAGTTTACTTTAAGTTTTATGGCACGACAAGGCACAACGAAGAAAAATTTTGTTAACGCCCTCTTGCTTGTTATTCAGCATGGAGAGTAAAAAAGAAAGAGACGAAGCATACTAGCAGAAATTTTACGTCTCACTCGTGATCTTCAAACGTGCGAGAAAAACGATAAGTGAGGAAGAAAAGGCAATAAGTTAAGCAATAATAAAGGAATAAAAATTTAACAATCAGGCAAAATCATGTGAAATTAAATGAGTAATAAACATTTATAACTTCATAATCGGTTTTCGATTCATAAATGCAGGACAACTAGTGTCTGAACATAGATGCAAGAGATTTTTTAAATCTTTTAAATTTAAAACAGCTTTTAAATTTTTGATTTTTTATCAAGAGCGAAATCAAACAATGAAATGCTTTAAAAATTTAAATTTGATGAAGATGTTTGTAATTTGAATTTTAAACAATCGTTAATACTCAATCTTAATATTTCTCATAATTTAAGTTTCCTCAATAGATAGACTTCAAATTAGAACTAAAATCATCCTACAAAGATTATACACATGACGAATTTAGCTAGAAATTTGCATGCATCATGAAATGATCAAAAGAACCTTCAAAATGCAGAATATAGAAATAAAGAAAACAGTATGACAAGAGAAATGAATCTGTAAGGCCTCAAAAGCTGCTTCTATCCAGAAGAAAATCGCGATTTCACACTCCTCACCAAAATCAGACATTCACCAACATTCTGTTCCTTCTTATTCTTTTCAACTTTAATGTCAACAGTATCCTTGAATATTTCACAGAATCCCTCATTGCTTCTATTCTGAGACATGATCAGCCAATAAGGACTTCAATATTGTGAAAATATTTGCTAGACAATCAACAAAAGAAACTGTTAACAGAACTCAATTTGAGAAATTCCGATTCGTTCCTTCTTCCATGAGTAGTTCATGAAAATCCAATAATGTTGTGACCTTCTTCTCAGCTGGATTGAATCTGTTGCTCCTTCTTTATGGGTAATGCATTAATGTGCATAAAAACTTGTCTTTTTCTACATTTGAATATTCTTCACTTTTTTTTTTTTGGAGAAGTGAATGCAGTTTATTATTTTATATAAAGCAAGCAAAACTAGATGCGGAACTGAATAAACTTCAAAGAAACTCTAGTTGACCAAATTCATTTATTTAATTAAAATTTTCTCACATTTTTTAAATGCACTAGATACTTTTAAACATCATAACAGCATGTTTGTTCATTAAGGGAATTTATATCAAATTCAATGACTTGTCCATTTTTATTCTGTGAGCGTGAAGTACGGCTGAGACCCATATCGACACAGTTCAAAAGTTATACCTAATTTATGTCATAATTATGTCAGCTACAAAAAAACTTAGTTTGAATTTTGTCACCCTCGGGAACACTATGAACCAGTATAGCTGATTTTGGTCCAAATCTCGGCCATACTTCACACTTATTTGAACCACATTTTCTCGTAAATGTTAAAATATTATTAAAAAGTAATTAATCCTGAATTATGTCGCTATTTTGTCAAGTGTTTTAAGATAAAGAATTTGTTTTTTGGTTTCCACAGTGAAGAGTATGAACAAAATTCAGATCGGGTAGTCGACATTTTAGATTTCGATTTTTTTTAAGCTATGCATTACAAAAAGTAATATTGGTAAGTGATTTATGTCAGAATTATGTCAATTCAAATAAAACATCCAAAAAATTTTTTGGACCAAAGTACACTACAGAAAATCAATTTTCAATTTTTTGACTAGGGCCGACCCTAGTCAAAATCAATTTTGTCACTTTTTTCTTCGAGGGTTTATCCAAATGGATTGAAACTTTGCATAAATATTTTGATGCTTAAAACAATTACAAAAAAAACATCCTCAAATTTTTTTGAGCAAAGAACCAAGTAGGAAATACATTTTCAATTTTGGACTAGGGGCGACCCTAGTCAAAATCAATTTTGTCACTTTTTTCTTTGAGGGTTTATCCAAATGAATTGAAACTTTGCATTAATATTTAAGTGCTTAAAACAAATACAAATAAAACATCCTCAAATTTCTTTGGGCAAAGAACCAAGTAGGAAATACATTTTCAATTTTGGACTAGGGGCGACCCTAGTCAAAATCAATTTTGTCACTTTTTTCTTTGAGGGTTTATCCAAATGAATTGAAACTTTGCACAAATATTCAAGTGCTTAAAACAAATACAAATAAAACATCCTCAAATTTCTTTGGGCAAAGAACCAAGTAGGAAATACATTTTCAATTTTGGACTTGGGGCGACCCTAGTCAAAATCAATTTTGTCACTTTTTTCTTTGAGGGTTTATCCAAATGAATTGAAACTTTGCACAAATATTCAAGTGCTTAAAACAAATACAAATAAAACATCCTCAAATTTCTTTGGGCAAAGAACCAAGTAGGAAATACATTTTCAATTTTGGACTAGGGGCGACCCTAGTCAAAATCAATTTTGTCACTTTTTTCTTCGAGGGTTTATCCAAATGGATTGAAACTTTGCATAAATATTTTGATGCTTAAAACAATTACAAAAAAAACACCCTCAAATTTTTTTGAGCAATGAACCAAGTAGGAAATACATTTTCAATTTTGGACTAGGGGCGACCCTAGTCAAAATCAATTTTGTCACTTTTTTCTTCGAGGGTTTATCCAAATGGATTAAAACTTTGCATAAATATTCTAGTGCTTAAAACAAATACAAACAAAACATCCTAAATTTTTTTTGAGCAAAGAACCAAGTAGGAAACTAAGTTTTGACTAGACCTGTCCCAAGTTCATAATTGAAAATGTATTACCTACTTGGTTCTTTGCTCAAAAAAATTTTAAGATGTTTTATTTGTATTTGTTTTAAGCACTAGAATATTTATGCAAAGTTTCAATCCATTTGGATAAACCCTCGAAGAAAAAAGTGACAAAATTGATTTTGACTAGGGTCGCCCCTAGTCCAAAATTGAAAATGTATTTCCTACTTGGTTCATTGCTCAAAAAAATTTAAGGGTGTTTTTTTTGTAATTGTTTTAAGCATCAAAATATTTATGCAAAGTTTCAATCCATTTGGATAAACCCTCGAAGAAAAAAGTGACAAAATTGATTTTGACTAGGGTCGCCCCTAGTCCAAAATTGAAAATGTATTTCCTACTTGGTTCATTGCTCAAAAAAATTTGAGGGTGTTTTTTTTGTAATTTTTTTAAGCATCAAAATATTTATGCAAAGTTTCAATCCATTTGGATAAACCCTCAAAGAAAAAAGTGACAAAATTGATTTTGACTAGGGTCGCCCCTAGTCCAAAATTGAAAATGTATTTCCTACTTGGTTCTTTGCTCAAAAAAATTTTAGAATGTTTTATTTGTATTTGTTTAAAGCACTAGAATATTTATGCAAAGTTTCAATCCATTTGGATAAACCCTCGAAGAAAAAAGTGACAAAATTGATTTTGACTAGGGTCGCCCCTAGTCCAAAATTGAAAATGTATTTCCTACTTGGTTCTGTGCTCAAAAAAATTTTAGAATGTTTTATTTGTATTTTTTTAAGCACTAGAATATTTATGCAAAGTTTCAATCCATTTGGATAAACCCTCGAAGAAAAAAGTGACAAAATTGATTTTGACTAGGGTCGCCCCTAGTCCAAAATTGAAAATGTATTTCCTACTTGGTTCTGTGCTCAAAAAAATTTAACATGTTTTATTTGTATTTGTTTAAAGCACTAGAATATTTATGCAAAGTTTCAATCCATTTGGATAAACCCTCAAAGAAAAAAGTGACAAAATTGATTTTTACTAGGGTCGCCCCTAGTCCAAAATTGAAAATGTATTTCCTACTTGGTTCTTTGCCCAAAGAAATTTGAGGATGTTTTATTTGTATTTGTTTTAAGCACTAGAATATTTGTGCAAAGTTTCAATTCATTTGGATAAACCCTCGAAGAAAAAAGTGACAAAATTGATTTTGACTAGGGTCGCCCCTAGTCAAAAAATTGAAAATTGATTTTCTGTAGTGTACTTTGGTCCAAAAAATTTTTTGGATGTTTTATTTGAATTGACATAATTCTGACATAAATCACTTACCAATATTACTTTTTGTAATGCATAGCTTTAAAAAAATCGAAATCTAAAATGTCGACTACCCGATCTGAATTTTGTTCATACTCTTCACTGTGGAAACCAAAAAACAAAATCTTTATCTTAAAACACTTGACAAAATAGCGACATAATTCAGGATTAATTACTTTTTAATAATATTTTAACATTTACGAGAAAATGTGGTTCAAATAAGTGTGAAGTGTGGCCGAGATTTGGACCAAAATCAGCTATACTGGTTCATAGTGTTCCCGAGGGTGACAAAACTCAAACTAAGTTTTTTTTGTAGCTGACATAATTATGACATAAATTAGGTATAACTTTTGAACTGTGTCGATATGGGTCTCGGCCGTACTTCATGCCCAATATTATTCTCCTTATAAATAATTAGAAACTGATGACATGGCAAATTTTGGAAATATATATTTTTTTTCTCATTTTTTCCGAGCTTCCATTGCCTTCCAATCATCAAGTCACTCAATAAGTTTTTATTTTTATTTTTGGATCGTTTCGATTTCATTTCTTTCGGTGATCATAGA